TAACCTTAATTAATATTTGGGGCACCAACAAAGACATTCTCATTGCAGATTCTCTAATGGATTATAAAATATAATATCATACCTCTCTGAATATCAAACTGGCAGTGCTTAATTCATAGACAGTCAAAAATGAATATTTGCTTATTACATAGATCAATCCATATCTTTGATTAACGTGCATTAAGACTGGGAAATCTGTTGGATAATTTGGATCAGTTTAAACTTCAACTTATCTTTTGTATTTTTAGAATCCGTTGGGTGGTACTCCAATTTCTGAGATGTGTAATCTGCTTGTTGTTTCACCAGACTTTCTCTCCACAAAACAGAATAAACTGCTTTTGTAGTCATCTGTGTGAATCAAGGCATCTCCAAAACAGCAACAATGTCCTTCTAAGATTTATTGCTTTGCCTATTCAATCAAAAATAATTGAATGTGACCATTAATTGTTCTACCTCCATCTGGTGTTGAAATACCATATAATGCACACCATTTTTCATTTCCTTCCAATCCATATCCTATAATCTACACTGGATTCTCTGATGACAATGCTCCAGATCTTATTTTATTATGATTTAATACTATACCTGTCCATCACTTTGACTTGTTGCTCATTAGGATTTGTAATATTGATGTGATATACTGCTGTTGGAGTAACATATGCTAATTTTTATGGGTTGACCCATCTCCAAAACACTATAGTCTCATTCAATTCGACATTCTTTATTCTCTATTTCTCATCCAAATTGAAGATTTAGATCACTGTTGAATTTGGCTATTCACCTGCTGCTCTTAGGGCTATGATATTCTTTTCTGGATGCATTAAAGCAGAGTCTGCCTTGTTTGGCTTACGAGAAATCAATTGCTTTGACTCAAAATTGAATTGCAATAATTGAGTTTCTCCATTTGGGGCTGTCTCTCTGATTGTGATATATTTATCTGATTCGAAGAAAATTTAACCAAACTTGAAATTGGTTTGACTAACACCCAACTAAGAAAATCGGTATGCCTCTTAAACTCTTATTGGTCTTAATGGATTCATAATAAAATAAAAATTTAAATTCACATCTCCACATCATATCGTATTTGAATTCAATAATTAATAAACATAATTTAATAATCATAATAGGAATTACGCAAACAATTTTAATAATTTGTTTACAAGAAGCATTCATATAAATAATAATGTAAAACATCTATGGCTCATTCTTCATATTAATGTCAAAAATTACAAACTGCATCTTTGAATTGGTATAATTGTTACCTAGATTCTATATGTCTCATAATATATATTCTAAACTGTGTTTACTTGATAAATAATTTATTTAACTTCTTGATTTATTTAATATTACGATGAACACTTAGAAAATGTGCAATGTGCATTAAATTTATTTAAGTTTCTATAAGATAAACAATTATTATGATGTAATGATTTTTGATGGTATCTTATTCGAGTGAAATAAAAGCATAATAAACTAAATTTTAAGTCATTTGAATATGATATTGTATGTTCATTATCAAGATTTATGAGCATAATTTTTATTAATATGAATAAAAGTTTTAAAAGTTACCCTTCCTTTGCTGCCTTTTAGATAGAGCAAGCAAAATCAAATAGGTAATTTTGATAAGTATAACAGTTTGAAAAAAGATTACTCTATGTTTATCATAACTCAGTTTATGATTTGACGGATTTCATAGATAAACATCCTGGAGGAAGAGGTCCTTTAAACACATACAAAGGTAGAGATTTAGAAAATGTATAACATAATGTTTAGATTATAGATATTTTTCAATCCAGCAATACATAAACATAGCTAATCTGCATTTAATACATTTGAGCGGTATAAATGTGGAATAATTGAGAACAAACCCATTTAATAATAACAATAATCCATGCTAGGCTCAAAATCAACAAATGTTTCGTAATCTATTGTAACAAATAAATCTCAAAAAAATACACCTTAAAAAAATGATTCTGATAAAAAGCTTCAATAAAAATCACAATCTGTTAAACCAAAGGCTCAACAACAAGAAGATAGGCTAAATCAATCTATGAGTAAATTAAATCAATCAATGACTAGCAGTGTTAAATCTTAATTTTTACTCATACCAACATAGTAAGAAGTACTGATGATACAAAAATAGAAATAGCAGAAACTAATTAAATAGTGGAAATAATCTGAAATTGAAGAGTTAAAAAGACAATAAGCTGAAGTTGAAAAATTAAGAGTTGAAAAAAATGAAGATCGCAAGACTTAAAGTGAAATTTTAGTTTCTCCTCGTAAAAAATCAACAAACCCTTATTATTCAGCATGGCTTGAAAAACAGCAACAACAGGAATAATAAAAGATAGAAGAATCCAAAAATTCTAACATTCTACCTGCCTATCTTACATAATCTAGTGATTAACAATATGAAGATACAAGATTTCAACCATTTACATTTGATGCAGAAAAAAAGAGACAATATGACTCCAAGTTATCCTAATCTGTCATCGTATAAAAAACTTAGAAGAAAGTCAATCCCTATTACGAAGAATGGAAGAGAAGGCAAAGCTTAAAAAGTTAAGAATCTCAAAAGGAATTAAGCTTATAAGAGAACAATCAACTATCAAAACAGCAATCCATTATTTTAGAAGAGAATGAATCTTAGATTTCTGGATAGCCCTCTTCCATAAATAATAGTTTCCAAAGATCCTATTCAATGAGTTAAAGAACAATCGTATAAGAAAATCCTTAATTGTGTGTACCTGTCTTTGCTCCAAAGTTTATCTCTCCTATCAAGGCCAAATTCGTAATTAGCACTAGCATGAAAAAGCTGTGAAGTAGATGAATGTGGGTATATAAAATTTTTTTAACTACTTTTTATAATTTAAGTTTATAACAATTATTTATTAATATCTAATCCGATGAATAATCCCATTTTTAATACTGCAAGGATATTTTTGCAAAATAAATATCACTTTGCCACTCCCTTGGAATTATTCAAACACCTTATCACTAATTCAAGTTATTTTCAAACATTGAGATTGAAAAATGACTCCAATGATGAGCTTTTATATAAACTGATTTTCATTGCAGGATTTCACGAAAGAAGAAATTGTGGAAATGTTGTTAAGGAATTTTCTTAAAATTGCTTGATTTAAATTAGAGATCGTATAGAGGATATGTCTATGGATATACCTACTTTAATTTAAGCATTTTTAGCAATGAGCAATGTTTTATTAGATGATGAAAAAATTGTTTCATCTATTTTGAAATAATTGAAAGACCAAGAAGATTAAATCACTCTTAAATAGTTTCATTCTATCTAACATTGCTTATACAAATTGGGAAGGCAAAACAATTATTGGTCATAAAAAGCTTGTGATGCTATGACTCATAATTTAACTACAATTGTAATCCAAGATTATGTATAATACTTGCATATTGCTAGCAATTTATATTAAATTGGTTTGTTTTAAGAAGAACATCTCATTAAACTTCTGGATATTTTATATTACAAACTTGGAAAATAATAAAAACATATATACTTGTCTAAATTTACCTTCTAATTTGCCTAAATGATGTTTAACCTGTATCCTGAAATTATCAATTAACCATTAAATTAACTCTCTTGCAATCAGCATACTCCTTTTGAATTGTATTTCTAGTTTCTGAAGAGGGATTATTAAGTTTGTAGATAAATCCTTCAAAGAAAAAAAATTGGAGTTTCAATAGATTATTTTGAGAATGAAAATTTTCCATACCTTCTTAGATTAAGAGAGGATTCTATTAGTCGAACCTAAACTCTTTTAGAAACTGAAATTATTGAGATTCTTCAAAAATTGTAATTAAAATTCAATAAATTTTAAAAAGTTCTTATTTATGATGTTGATTTTAAAGTGATGGACAATTATGTAATTAATTGTAATGGGCCACTACATTTTATTTCAACATTGGATGGAAAAATTAAATAAAAATCATTCAACACAATGATGCAATATAGGTATTGTCATACATAAATAAAGACATTTAAAAGCACTTGAAACTCAAAATGTCATAGATTTTGATTTTTTCGATTGGAAACAAGAAGACTCTATGGAATTCAAAATATCAAAAATAAAGACACTCTTGAATTTGATTTGATATCAATGAAGAGAATATAAATATACAATTATCAATAAGTATTTTAGTTTATAAAAGTTAAAAAACAACATATTTATAAAATAATTATTAATTAAATAATAATAGATCAAATATAATGTGAATGAAAAGTGAGGGAGTTATTATGATTGGGGTTATGTGTTGATTTATTATGATTAGGATGATAATTAGATTGATTAGAGGATGAAAATAATCTGAGAAAAAATAGAGATAATAAATTACTTTTAATATGATATTTTAGGTTCAATAGAGATTTTGGTAGGAATATATTTGGTTAGAATAGAACTCTTTCTTTATGCATTTAATATTTTTTTTCTGATTAATTCACTAGTGGCAGTCTATTTCTTTGGAATAGTTTTATCTGGTATTTTAACAATAATAGATTTTATTGATTTCTTTAATGTAATTTAATGTAAAGGTGTAGGTATTTTAAATGGAGGATGAAAGAAATATTAAGCTGAATTAATAAAAGATTATTATTATTATTATTATTGTTATTATTATTATTATTATTATTATTATTATGAACTTTTTATTATTTTACCTGAAAATGTTCTTATCAATCTTCTATTTGTTGAAATACTTACTTTTCCATCATCTTCCATTTATAATTTTAATATTGAATAAGATTATTTTAAATCATAATCATTACTTACAGAAACATTTACCATCTTTTTATTCTTTCCTCTACTCATTATTATTTATTTTGGACTACTTTATATACTTAAACTAGATTAACTTCTATATTTCTAAAATAAAACTGGATCCATTTACTCACCCACTTCTTTTTTTATTTTTTTTTCTTTATTTATATTTAATCAATTTATTTATTTACTTACTTACTTATCTATTTATTATCATCTCACATCCCCCCCCTTTTTCACCAACATATCTCTCCTTATATNTAACTTTGTTTCAGGTAACTCCATGCATCTAGCCAGTTCTCCATCGTTTGTAACTACAATTAATCCTTCAGAATTAAAATCTAATCTTCCCACAGAAATAATATGCTAATCTGTTTTTAATCTAAGTTTTGCAAAATCATAGAATGAAGGTCTCTTGAATGGGTCATTATGAGAGCATATCATACCAATAGGTTTGTAAAAAATCCAAACTTTCTTTAATAATAAATGCTGATTACAGTTGATTGCTTAGTTGGCATTCTCTCTCCATTTTTTGTGAATACTTAGATTTTATTTTCAGAAGTAACTGGTATGTTACTATCGACTTTTTTTCCATCAACTAATATCATTCCAGATTCTATCATTTTTTCTGCTTCTCTTCTTGAGCATACACTTGTTTAAGCCAAGTATTTACTTAATCTCATAGGTTCAGATTGAATTAAATTTTGTTTAATTTAAGGCTACTTGATTGCATTGGAGGCTTTGCTAATGAATTGTGAAAATGCAGAAAAAAATTTATTTATAATCATTAATATTATTTTATTACAAAAAAGAGTATAGTATATCATATATATGATTGAATATTCAAGAAACATCATAAATCAACATAAATTAAATAATAATAGATCAAATATAATGTGAATGAAAAGTGAGGGAGTTATTATGATTGGGGTTATGTGTTGATTTATTATGATTAGGATGATAATTAGATTGATTAGAGGATGAAAATAATCTGAGAAAAAATAGAGATAATAAATTACTTTTAATATGATATTTTAGGTTCAATAGAGATTTTGGTAGGAATATATTTGGTTAGAATAGAACTCTTTCTTTATGCATTTAATATTTTTTTTCTGATTAATTCACTAGTGGCAGTCTATTTCTTTGGAATAGTTTTATCTGGTATTTTAACAATAATAGATTTTATTGATTTCTTTAATGTAATTTAATGTAAAGGTGTAGGTATTTTAAATGGAGGATGAAAGAAATATTAAGCTGAATTAATAAAAGATTATTATTATTATTATTATTGTTATTATTATTATTATTATTATTATTATTATGAACTTTTTATTATTTTACCTGAAAATGTTCTTATCAATCTTCTATTTGTTGAAATACTTACTTTTCCATCATCTTCCATTTATAATTTTAATATTGAATAAGATTATTTTAAATCATAATCATTACTTACAGAAACATTTACCATCTTTTTATTCTTTCCTCTACTCATTATTATTTATTTTGGACTACTTTATATACTTAAACTAGATTAACTTCTATATTTCTAAAATAAAACTGGATCCATTTACTCACCCACTTCTTTTTTTATTTTTTTTTCTTTATTTATATTTAATCAATTTATTTATTTACTTACTTACTTATCTATTTATTATCATCTCACATCCCCCCCCTTTTTCACCAACATATCTCTCCTTATATNAATTGTAATCCAAGATTATGTATAATACTTGCATATTGCTAGCAATTTATATTAAATTGGTTTGTTTTAAGAAGAACATCTCATTAAACTTCTGGATATTTTATATTACAAACTTGGAAAATAATAAAAACATATATACTTGTCTAAATTTACCTTCTAATTTGCCTAAATGATGTTTAACCTGTATCCTGAAATTATCAATTAACCATTAAATTAACTCTCTTGCAATCAGCATACTCCTTTTGAATTGTATTTCTAGTTTCTGAAGAGGGATTATTAAGTTTGTAGATAAATCCTTCAAAGAAAAAAAATTGGAGTTTCAATAGATTATTTTGAGAATGAAAATTTTCCATACCTTCTTAGATTAAGAGAGGATTCTATTAGTCGAACCTAAACTCTTTTAGAAACTGAAATTATTGAGATTCTTCAAAAATTGTAATTAAAATTCAATAAATTTTAAAAAGTTCTTATTTATGATGTTGATTTTAAAGTGATGGACAATTATGTAATTAATTGTAATGGGCCACTACATTTTATTTCAACATTGGATGGAAAAATTAAATAAAAATCATTCAACACAATGATGCAATATAGGTATTGTCATACATAAATAAAGACATTTAAAAGCACTTGAAACTCAAAATGTCATAGATTTTGATTTTTTCGATTGGAAACAAGAAGACTCTATGGAATTCAAAATATCAAAAATAAAGACACTCTTGAATTTGATTTGATATCAATGAAGAGAATATAAATATACAATTATCAATAAGTATTTTAGTTTATAAAAGTTAAAAAACAACATATTTATAAAATAATTATTAATTAAATAATAATAGATCAAATATAATGTGAATGAAAAGTGAGGGAGTTATTATGATTGGGGTTATGTGTTGATTTATTATGATTAGGATGATAATTAGATTGATTAGAGGATGAAAATAATCTGAGAAAAAATAGAGATAATAAATTACTTTTAATATGATATTTTAGGTTCAATAGAGATTTTGGTAGGAATATATTTGGTTAGAATAGAACTCTTTCTTTATGCATTTAATATTTTTTTTCTGATTAATTCACTAGTGGCAGTCTATTTCTTTGGAATAGTTTTATCTGGTATTTTAACAATAATAGATTTTATTGATTTCTTTAATGTAATTTAATGTAAAGGTGTAGGTATTTTAAATGGAGGATGAAAGAAATATTAAGCTGAATTAATAAAAGATTATTATTATTATTATTATTGTTATTATTATTATTATTATTATTATTATTATGAACTTTTTATTATTTTACCTGAAAATGTTCTTATCAATCTTCTATTTGTTGAAATACTTACTTTTCCATCATCTTCCATTTATAATTTTAATATTGAATAAGATTATTTTAAATCATAATCATTACTTACAGAAACATTTACCATCTTTTTATTCTTTCCTCTACTCATTATTATTTATTTTGGACTACTTTATATACTTAAACTAGATTAACTTCTATATTTCTAAAATAAAACTGGATCCATTTACTCACCCACTTCTTTTTTTATTTTTTTTTCTTTATTTATATTTAATCAATTTATTTATTTACTTACTTACTTATCTATTTATTATCATCTCACATCCCCCCCCTTTTTCACCAACATATCTCTCCTTATATATTTTATCATAGACCAATAAGATTAAGATAATAATTGAATGAAGTTTCATTTCTAAAATACTATAATTATTCTCAGGTAGAAATAAAATTTTTAATCATCTTTTTTTTTTGATAACTCAAAAATATTCTCTTGCTTCTTTTGTTTTCGACTACTACTTTTGATTCTTATTTAGTTAATTTCAATTGAAATATATATGTAATAATATTATAATAATAAATATGAATGAGTTAAAACTTCTTGAAAGATTGCCAGCAAGAAAAACAAATATCAAGATGAATTTTGTTATAAATGGTGTATTTTCGTTTCCTGAGGAATGGAGAGTAACAGATGAATCAAATCCAAATTTATTTTAATACTCAGTTGCATTTCTTGATTAAAGATTGTCAGGTGGAAAAGTATTACCTAGAGAACTAACCGAGAAGGAGAAAAAAGAAATTGAAGAAGCAGAAGCGGCAAAGAAAGCAAAAAAGTAACCAAAAAAAGATGCTAAAATTGAAGTAATATTGATTAATACTCTTAGCCCCCTAAATTAACGCCAGAGGAGGAGAAAGAGAAGCTTCTCAGAGAATAAATGGAACTTGAAGAATAATAAAAACTTAAGGCAGAATGGGATGCTTTGACAGAAGAGGAATAATTTTATAAAACTTAAGAAGATCAATTCAAATGTCCTAGCATTAAGTTTGATCAAAACTAGTTTTCTTAAGAATTAACAGGATAAAAGCTAGTTATACAATAAGAGAGAGTGAGAGTTGATAAAGGAGAATGGATATTTTTGTATAAATCTCCCATTCCAGGAGATGAAGAAGTAGCAAAACTAAAAAAAACTAAACCAAAGACTTTAAATATCAACGATTTAAATATCATTGTATTTAAAGCCTGGATAGACTATTTACCATTTTAAACTCCAGGATAAACTGAAACTATTTAAAGAATAAAGTTTACTTAGTATATGGATGAGCAGTCTCCTCCAGAAACACCAAAGCCTAATATAGAAACTATGTATATGTACCTAAAGATTAATTTATCTCAACCAATAACCCCTATTAGATTTGAACCCTAACCAACATTTTAAGACTTGATTCCTTTAGCTCCTGAACCTCAACCAATTCCATTAAGTTAGTAATGTATTGAAGAGTTGAGGAGTGATCTTTAGGTCATAATAGAATCCTTAGCGATGGAATACTCTAATATGTTTTCGAAAGATCTAAACAAATATCAAAACGAAAAATAAAGTAATATGTTAATGACACATAAGAAATAGTCTCTTTAATAAAGAAAGGAACATTTTTTATATGATTTTAACATATCTGGAAAATACAAAATTTTAAAGGAAAGAATTAAAAAGAGTATTGTAAAGTTATGTAGAGATAAATTTGGTAAGTCTGGTTCAGTAACAGGCATTTCAACAACATAATCAGATTAATTTTATTCAGAACTTTATGTGTTTCTAATGGAGGAAATGAGATAAGTCTTAATTAATATGGTGAGAGAGAATAAAGAAGCATTGCAAGAGGATTTCTCTCATTTACTTTCAAAGAAAAAAACTATCTAGGATGTTGGATTTTAGGAAATCATAGTAGAAAAAACAAATGAAACTAGAAAACAGTAACTTGAGAGATTATGTTAAGAATATGAGATGTTAAATAGAACTGAAGAGGTGGAAAAACATTTAAGAGATTTGAATATAATCAACCCAAAAGATCAGGATGCTTTAATGAAATTTGCATTCTTCTGTCTTCGATGTGCAAAGATAGAATAGGCTGTAACCCTTGTAGAATAAGCACTATCTTTTGATGGACATAATCAATAAAATTAATTACTATTAGCTGGTTTGTATTAAAAAAGAGAAAAAATTTCTGAAGCTAAATTTATTTTGGAATTGCTATTAGATTAAGATCCAAATAATTTAATTTATCATCTTTTTTACAATCTTATTATATAATAATAAGACTAAGAATTAGCAGATTTCATGATGCAAAAAGCAGAGAGAATATGGCTTAGACAACTGAATCTAATTAAATAAGAAGGGATGCATCATGAAGATCCTTAGTTATTTGATATTCCTTGGATAAAGATTCCAATCCCTGTTCCAGATAAGCCTGAAAAAGATAAAGCAATTTTAGAACAAAGAGAATAATAAAGAATTGCTTGGGAGAATGCTCATAATTAACCTTAATTGACTGAATAATAATAAGATTAGATGATATTGTAACTGGTGGAATTCTTTGAGAATGCTTGCCTCTTTGAGTTAGCCGAATAATCATTGAGTCTTTTAAATGATCAATCGCATAATAAAATTACGATGTTAAGAGCAAAGATATATTTATATAAGTCTGAATATGCTCAGTGCTTGGATTTAATTGAAAATATGCTAGGTATGATCATATAATATTTAAAGAATTTAATCCTGAAAATTTGGAAATACGTATTGAATACATAAAAGTATTGTTTAAGAGTCAAGATTTTGATAAATGCGAAAAGTAGATTAAATTTGTATTACCAAATCCCTAACTGAGAGAGGATCCAATTACATATTTTAGTATGTATTTGATTTTGGGTTCAATTTATATACAAGAAAAATAATTTGGTAATGCTAGAGCAGTATTCACAAAAGCATGTTAAATTAAAGATAATTCATCCTTGTCTTGGATGGGATTGGGTATATCTTCTCATGAATGCGGAAAGTATAAAGAGGCAGAAGATGCCTTAAGAATGGCTAATCTTTATGAACCTACAAATGATACGGTCTGGGGATATATTGCATTAAATTGTTTAAAGGATGGTAAAAGGTTCAGGGATGCTAATTCAGCCTTGAAAGAAATGAATAAAACTGATGTATATAATATTTCATAAGTAATTAGGTTGGATAAGTAAATTTAATGGTTCGTCTAAGCAAAGAGTTTTATAATATTGAGGAATATTTAACAGCTAAAGAATTATTACAAAAGGCCATAAATTGGGCTAAGATTTAAGATATGCTTACTGATGAAATTAATTAATTTGAGATACAATTAGCAGAAACTAATGAAAAGCTTGGATAACTCTAACAAGCCCTAGATATTTATTAAGAGATTTTAAATGGAGAATGCGGATCTTTGGAAGAACACTTAAAATAATAAATAAATAGACTACATTTCCAAATCAATATTAAATATTGATAAGAATTATAAATATTTATTATATTAATATTAAATTATGAAATCCTTGTTCAGATATCATTTCATTAACAAAGTCAGCATTTCCTCTATTAATCAGAATACATTGATTCCTTTATATAAGTCATCAATTTCAGGTATCAATATTATAAACAAATTGCTAGATTAAAAATTAAATAATTTTTCATAATCTTATGTACCTTTCAAAGAATACTTTTAATTAGTTCCCATCTTTCTTGAGAGGTATTTATTTGATCATGGCAAACATTTTGTGGTTGGAATGTCATATTCTAAAGAATCTAATTTATTGTAATTGAAATGCTTGGCTCATTCAGGAATTTATACTAAATATGTTTCATTAATTCATTATGATAGGTTGTTCCTTAAAACATTATCCCTGCTACTTTTGGTGATTATAATCAAAGTGCAAGATTTAACTTATTTGAGCATACTATTCGAGTTGATTACGATATGATTTATTACAACAATTAGCAAAATGAATTTTACCTTTTTGATAGAGAAGGTAAATGGGAAGAAGTAGAGATTCCAGAATTATCCATTGAAAAATTGTTTGATGAGAAGAAATATTTGAACGAAGTCTTCAGATGAACAAGAATAAATAAATATATAAGCATATTAAATATTTTATCAACCATGAAGTCTAGATTATTTATTAAGATAAAATTATATTATTTAAATCTTAATAGAGAATAGATTTGATTATTCAATTCAATTTAAGATGGTTTTATATGTTCTGTTCTAATAGTAATAATAGTATTTTAGCTGAAAAAATTTTTATAAATAAAAGTTCAAAAAATTTAGTGTAAAGAATAATATTATATTTATTATAAATAATGTAATTACCCTTAACTTAAAGTTAATTCTAGCTTTATAATATTTTGATTTAATGATATTCTTATGGGAATACTAAGAATTTTTAGAGTAGTAAAATATAAGGAGAGATATGTTGGTGAAAAAGGGGGGGGATGTGAGATGATAATAAATAGATAAGTAAGTAAGTAAATAAATAAATTGATTAAATATAAATAAAGAAAAAAAAATAAAAAAAGAAGTGGGTGAGTAAATGGATCCAGTTTTATTTTAGAAATATAGAAGTTAATCTAGTTTAAGTATATAAAGTAGTCCAAAATAAATAATAATGAGTAGAGGAAAGAATAAAAAGATGGTAAATGTTTCTGTAAGTAATGATTATGATTTAAAATAATCTTATTCAATATTAAAATTATAAATGGAAGATGATGGAAAAGTAAGTATTTCAACAAATAGAAGATTGATAAGAACATTTTCAGGTAAAATAATAAAAAGTTCATAATAATAATAATAATAATAATAATAATAACAATAATAATAATAATAATAATCTTTTATTAATTCAGCTTAATATTTCTTTCATCCTCCATTTAAAATACCTACACCTTTACATTAAATTACATTAAAGAAATCAATAAAATCTATTATTGTTAAAATACCAGATAAAACTATTCCAAAGAAATAGACTGCCACTAGTGAATTAATCAGAAAAAAAATATTAAATGCATAAAGAAAGAGTTCTATTCTAACCAAATATATTCCTACCAAAATCTCTATTGAACCTAAAATATCATATTAAAAGTAATTTATTATCTCTATTTTTTCTCAGATTATTTTCATCCTCTAATCAATCTAATTATCATCCTAATCATAATAAATCAACACATAACCCCAATCATAATAACTCCCTCACTTTTCATTCACATTATATTTGATCTATTATTATTTAATTNTGGTTACTTTTTTGCTTTCTTTGCCGCTTCTGCTTCTTCAATTTCTTTTTTCTCCTTCTCGGTTAGTTCTCTAGGTAATACTTTTCCACCTGACAATCTTTAATCAAGAAATGCAACTGAGTATTAAAATAAATTTGGATTTGATTCATCTGTTACTCTCCATTCCTCAGGAAACGAAAATACACCATTTATAACAAAATTCATCTTGATATTTGTTTTTCTTGCTGGCAATCTTTCAAGAAGTTTTAACTCATTCATATTTATTATTATAATATTATTACATATATATTTCAATTGAAATTAACTAAATAAGAATCAAAAGTAGTAGTCGAAAACAAAAGAAGCAAGAGAATATTTTTGAGTTATCAAAAAAAAAAGATGATTAAAAATTTTATTTCTACCTGAGAATAATTATAGTATTTTAGAAATGAAACTTCATTCAATTATTATCTTAATCTTATTGGTCTATGATAAAATATATAAGGAGAGATATGTTGGTGAAAAAGGGGGGGGATGTGAGATGATAATAAATAGATAAGTAAGTAAGTAAATAAATAAATTGATTAAATATAAATAAAGAAAAAAAAATAAAAAAAGAAGTGGGTGAGTAAATGGATCCAGTTTTATTTTAGAAATATAGAAGTTAATCTAGTTTAAGTATATAAAGTAGTCCAAAATAAATAATAATGAGTAGAGGAAAGAATAAAAAGATGGTAAATGTTTCTGTAAGTAATGATTATGATTTAAAATAATCTTATTCAATATTAAAATTATAAATGGAAGATGATGGAAAAGTAAGTATTTCAACAAATAGAAGATTGATAAGAACATTTTCAGGTAAAATAATAAAAAGTTCATAATAATAATAATAATAATAATAATAATAACAATAATAATAATAATAATAATCTTTTATTAATTCAGCTTAATATTTCTTTCATCCTCCATTTAAAATACCTACACCTTTACATTAAATTACATTAAAGAAATCAATAAAATCTATTATTGTTAAAATACCAGATAAAACTATTCCAAAGAAATAGACTGCCACTAGTGAATTAATCAGAAAAAAAATATTAAATGCATAAAGAAAGAGTTCTATTCTAACCAAATATATTCCTACCAAAATCTCTATTGAACCTAAAATATCATATTAAAAGTAATTTATTATCTCTATTTTTTCTCAGATTATTTTCATCCTCTAATCAATCTAATTATCATCCTAATCATAATAAATCAACACATAACCCCAATCATAATAACTCCCTCACTTTTCATTCACATTATATTTGATCTATTATTATTTAATTTATGTTGATTTATGATGTTTCTTGAATATTCAATCATATATATGATATACTATACTCTTTTTTGTAATAAAATAATATTAATGATTATAAATAAATTTTTTTCTGCATTTTCACAATTCATTAGCAAAGCCTCCAATGCAATCAAGTAGCCTTAAATTAAACAAAATTTAATTCAATCTGAACCTATGAGATTAAGTAAATACTTGGCTTAAACAAGTGTATGCTCAAGAAGAGAAGCAGAAAAAATGATAGAATCTGGAATGATATTAGTTGATGGAAAAAAAGTCGATAGTAACATACCAGTTACTTCTGAAAATAAAATCTAAGTATTCACAAAAAATGGAGAGAGAATGCCAACTAAGCAATCAACTGTAATCAGCATTTATTATTAAAGAAAGTTTGGATTTTTTACAAACCTATTGGTATGATATGCTCTCATAATGACCCATTCAAGAGACCTTCATTCTATGATTTTGCAAAACTTAGATTAAAAACAGATTAGCATATTATTTCTGTGGGAAGATTAGATTTTAATTCTGAAGGATTAATTGTAGTTACAAACGATGGAGAACTGGCTAGATGCATGGAGTTACCTGAAACAAAGTTACAACGAATATATAGAGTTAGAGTTTATGGTACTTTTACAGAAGAGAAATTGAAAAGGATAAGAAATGGTGTCACTATAGCTGGCGTAAATTATGGTCCTTATTGGGTTAACGTTGAGAATAGGTACAAAAACAATTAAATTTAGGTAGTCAAGAAACACTTGGTTAATTATGAGATTAGAATCAGGTAAAAATAGAGAAATAAGAAAAGTAATGTAGAAATTTGATCTGAGAGTTAATAGACTGATTAGATAAAGTTATGGTCCTTACAAACTTATGGGTTTGAAACCAGGCGACTTTTACGAAGCCTAAATCGAACCTGAAATAAAGAGAAAGCTCTACCTTCAAGCTAGGAAAAAGCTATAGAATGTATAAGAATAGATTTAATTGGAATAAACAAAAAATAATATTAAAGCCTTAGATGAGTAAGGTAAGAATAATAAGTTATTTGAGAAATAAGAAAATGATAAAATCGAGAAGAATAACTTAGTTGTAAATTAATTTAAGAAAGTTAATTCAAAAAAAACTGTTTGATTTGTTTAATAAATTATTTTAGCAATTATAAAGTTAATTTAAAAATAGATTAATCCTTATAAGGGATCACGAGAATTTATACATAGAAAGTTGATTAGTTTTTATGGTTTCGATTTCAGAAAGTGCATTTTCTAATCTTTATCTTAATGCATCAATTTCAATACTGCAAAGCACTTTTTCATATTAATAGTTTATTTTATTAAATTCTTAATACTAATAATGTAATTTCTTAGTTATATACAAATTTTACATGAATTTATTCCTAAAAATCTTTTTTCTCTTTAGACAACATTTATACTTATTTTGTCAATTAATTAATAGTGTCTTAGTTATCAACTAATTCTTTATTCCTTAAATCAGATTAGTACTTAAAAGTATCGATTTCTTTTTGTTGCTGTTGCAATTTTTAATCTAAACGAATCTTAATGAATTATTAAATAATATACTTTTTGTTATGATTATTAAGATAAATCATTTAATAGTTAATATCTTTCTTGTTAAAACTATTGAATTTCTTTTGACATCAATTAGAACTTTTATGTAATATCATCTTAGAATTCTTATTCAAACTTTCCTTGTTTAGCTCTTGCTTAATTTTAATCTTATTCATAATTCTCTCTAATGGATAGCATTTATTATTGCAATTAATCATACTTTAATTATAATTAAGAGAACTAAATGTTTAATGATTTAATCTAATTATCTTTTTCTTTGGAGAGATCCTTCACTTTATTTATTTAATTGAGCATATCCTATTCATATATAGTGTAGGAGAGTTTATCATGATTCTTCTTTTCTTGTAATTGATTATTTAAATTTTTATTGATAGAATTTAAATTCTCAACTTCATTTCGTTATTCTAAAATTTTCGTTTCATATATAGAAATTTATGACTAAAGTATTTCTAATTGATTTTAAAGTTCATGATTATAAGTATCCAATTTCCGAACATCAATACTTAATATTTCTAGTTAAGTGTTTCTTGTTTTTAAATCATCAATTTCATTTTCTCTCAAATTAATAATTTCTTTCAGTTTTTCTAGTTCTTATTCATTAACAACTCTTTTCTTCAATATCTCCTATTGTGTTCTCATTTCATCCATATCAATTTTAATTCTTTGATATAAATTATTCATTCGTACCCATTCTTTTTATGCCTAATCCTTCTAAGCATTAGCATCAACAATCTATGTTTTTAATTCAAATTAATCCATCTCTAATTAATGGCATTTCTTCCTTATTTTTTCAGTTTCTCTATTCGATGTATCCAATTCCCTTTATAAATGTTTGAGTTCATCATTTAATTCATTTAAAGTAGCCTAATAAAATTTATTTAACTGTTAGGATTGACTATGCATTTCCATTTTATAATGGTTTTCTATATCTTATAATTATTTAACTTTGTCATTTTCACTTAAAATAAACTTTTATCTCCAAGAATCACTCTCATTTCTAATAACTCTTATTCTATCTTCAACTTCTCTACAAAATCGATCATCACTTTTTGCCGAATATATTTCTGAGAATTACTATTGTGGAGCTTAGTGCTCAGCAGCAGAAGTTGGCAATTTCAGTTCTTTTTGTTATGGGAAAGTTTATATTTGCTAAATGGTTTATTGTGGGATTTAATTATTTGGTGATTACTAAGTTCTATAAACAGTTTGGCCAGATTTAGGTGCAACATTAGCTGGGGACATATTTTATCTGATCTTGTTAGCATGAATAATCAATTCATTGACAGGAACAGGAACTGCTTGATGCACAATTGTGTTCAAAGCTGGTTTCTATTATAGAGGTTCAGATGAATAAGAATTTTTGTTTTGTTAATATGCATTTGGTGAAATCGATCTCATTAATTATTTATTNTTCTTGTTAAAACTATTGAATTTCTTTTGACATCAATTAGAACTTTTATGTAATATCATCTTAGAATTCTTATTCAAACTTTCCTTGTTTAGCTCTTGCTTAATTTTAATCTTATTCATAATTCTCTCTAATGGATAGCATTTATTATTGCAATTAATCATACTTTAATTATAATTAAGAGAACTAAATGTTTAATGATTTAATCTAATTATCTTTTTCTTTGGAGAGATCCTTCACTTTATTTATTTAATTGAGCATATCCTATTCATATATAGTGTAGGAGAGTTTATCATGATTCTTCTTTTCTTGTAATTGATTATTTAAATTTTTATTGATAGAATTTAAATTCTCAACTTCATTTCGTTATTCTAAAATTTTCGTTTCATATATAGAAATTTATGACTAAAGTATTTCTAATTGATTTTAAAGTTCATGATTATAAGTATCCAATTTCCGAACATCAATACTTAATATTTCTAGTTAAGTGTTTCTTGTTTTTAAATCATCAATTTCATTTTCTCTCAAATTAATAATTTCTTTCAGTTTTTCTAGTTCTTATTCATTAACAACTCTTTTCTTCAATATCTCCTATTGTGTTCTCATTTCATCCATATCAATTTTAATTCTTTGATATAAATTATTCATTCGTACCCATTCTTTTTATGCCTAATCCTTCTAAGCATTAGCATCAACAATCTATGTTTTTAATTCAAATTAATCCATCTCTAATTAATGGCATTTCTTCCTTATTTTTTCAGTTTCTCTATTCGATGTATCCAATTCCCTTTATAAATGTTTGAGTTCATCATTTAATTCATTTAAAGTAGCCTAATAAAATTTATTTAACTGTTAGGATTGACTATGCATTTCCATTTTATAATGGTTTTCTATATCTTATAATTATTTAACTTTGTCATTTTCACTTAAAATAAACTTTTATCTCCAAGAATCACTCTCATTTCTAATAACTCTTATTCTATCTTCAACTTCTCTACAAAATCGATCATCACTTTTTGCCGAATATATTTCTGAGAATTACTATTGTGGAGCTTAGTGCTCAGCAGCAGAAGTTGGCAATTTCAGTTCTTTTTGTTATGGGAAAGTTTATATTTGCTAAATGGTTTATTGTGGGATTTAATTATTTGGTGATTACTAAGTTCTATAAACAGTTTGGCCAGATTTAGGTGCAACATTAGCTGGGGACATATTTTATCTGATCTTGTTAGCATGAATAATCAATTCATTGACAGGAACAGGAACTGCTTGATGCACAATTGTGTTCAAAGCTGGTTTCTATTATAGAGGTTCAGATGAATAAGAATTTTTGTTTTGTTAATATGCATTTGGTGAAATCGATCTCATTAATTATTTATTATTAAATTTATTCTCCAAAATAAACAATAAATTTATAATATCTAATATCTAATTTCTTAACGTACTTTTTTTATAATATTACTATCTATATATTTTGATATATTCTTAATTTGAAAGGGTTTATTTACATTATAACTATGAAATATTCTATAAGCTAAGTAATCTATGAGAATAAAAGATTATTAAAATTTCCTTTGGATGAATTATTTTTTTTAAATTAGATTGTTATCAATCATCTTGAAAACTATTATTACGGCCAAATATTTTTTAGAATGGTGAATTATATCTATACTAATTTACTAAAAATTGATCTTGAAGTTATAAAAAAGTAACTCAATTTGGTGGGATAAACTAAAGTATATCTTTTATGGCTTAAATTAAATGAATTTGGTTAATTGATCCTTTTTAAGAAAGTGGCACAGCATCCCAAACTATACTCTCTTCTTCTTTAAATGAAAAAAAGAAATAAAGGATTCTTGAAATATATCTTTATTCTAAATCTACAAAGTCTATAAAGAAATCATAAAAAATAATCAAATATCTACAAAACATTCTAAAGAAAAGTTTCAAAACTTTGAATAGAAAAAATGTGTAACTGTTTTCTATAAGTTTGTCTTTGAGTTAAAGAAGATGATTAATATAATATACGAATATTATCAAAATAATATTAGTTAGTTTATATATTAAATAACTTTCTAATTTTTTTTTCATAATATATTAAATTTAACAGAATAATTCAGGTATTTAAATTTTTAATATATAATGCTCTAATCACCTAAATATGCAATTTCAACTGCTAAATTTTAGTAGAAAGTGTTGACCTTAGAAACCAACACCTCTTAATTTGATGCCACTTCAACAATTATTTAATCAATGTATTTACAAATAGATGAATTGATTGAAACAATTAAAAAGAGAAATCCAAAGTAAATTAAACAATAGAAAACAGAAGAGAATAGCATGACATATCAAGATTAATTAAACATGTTTAAGGCTGATGAAGAATCAACTAATTTATAATAGTATTATTTAGCGATTGAATCAGAGGAAATATCAAATGCCTTATATGCCTAACCAAATGATGTTTTGCTTTAATAAGCATAAATGAAAAAAACTTTATAAGCTCTTTAAACAAAAATAAATCAAACTAAACAAGTAAAAGTTGTTTTATATAAAAGACTCTTAGTGTAACCGATAATGATTATAGAGAACTTGAATCCAAAGCACAAGCAATCTCGGAAAAACAATAAAATTATGCTTCAATCTTATTAAAACTCAAAGAAAAATAATAGGTTAATGATTCAGTTAACAAATTACTCGATTAAGTAGGTTAATAGTAATGGTTAAAGTTACGTTAGTTATTTGATGTTGATATGATTAAGCTTGGTATTCCTTTTGAAAGGCTGATTAAACTTTAACAATTATTATTGAAAGAATCAGAAAATTTAATATAAGTTGGAAAGCATTAATGTGTTTTGGAGGAGAAGAAATAATTTTTAATTGAGATTCAGTTATAATCACCTTTAATTAATTTAGTATTATCATATGATTAGATATTGTTAAACATAATTCATCAACCAAAAGATTTATTAATCTCCAAGTAAGGATTATTAGTTTAAACTGTGAAATGCCTTAATATCCTGCACTAAAACTTTTGCTGCATTATTCAAAACTTGACTAAACTAAATTATTCTTAAAAACAATTTGAGGAGTCTTAAAAGGAATTAGTGTAGGTTACTGCTTAAGCTAAGGCATTTTCATTGAATAAAACTTAGTTGTTAATTGAGATTGATAAAATGAAGAAGCAATAGAAAGAGGTGTAATAATAATTATAAAATTCTTAAATGACAACAGATCGAAATATTGAGAATGAGGTGTAAAATCTATTAACAATGTATTTGAAGGATAAGGAAGTCTTGATGAGGGAAATCAAATTTAAATATGGTAAATAATATCATGATCATATGATTATGGATGTGAAATAAGAATTCAAGAAAATATGTTTGGGATAGCAATTTGAGTAGACAAAAAAGATTGAATAAGCCTATACTAGAATGGATGAAATCTAAAAATAAATTATAAAAAATAAGGATAAAATTATAGAGTTATTGAAATAATTGAAAGAGTATAAGAATACTTTTCAACAATCTAAAACGGAAGAATCGTAGATAGATAAAAAGGAATTTCTTTTACAATTATAAAATCTAAAAATTATTTTACTTTAGCTTGAAAATAAAATATAGAAAAAAACACAACATAACTCTGAATCACTGTTGTAGGATCTATAGGTAGAAATAAATAAATTAAAAGAATTTATTGATCAAAATTTTGTAATTTAAAAATAAAGAAGTGATTCTATCGATACTATTAAGAAAACATAAAAGTTTGAGCATGGAAGATCACAATCATAAATACCAATAGTTTCAACTTTGGGATCTGAAATTTCTGGTCCAATTTAAAGTCCAAAAAATATTTAATATCCTGTTTAAAACCCTCAAGAGATATTTGATTCATCGGATGATCCTATTTAAATTGTGAAGAAGCCATTTTCTGAATGGAATAGTTATCAGTTAAGCTTCAATTAGAATTAGCTGAAGTCAATCTCTGGTATAAGTGGATAAGAATAATCTTTTATCACATAAAAAGAAAGTAGCTTGCATGGTTCCATCTTAGAGGCTATGTCTAGTAATAGAAATAAGAAACCAGAGATTCATCTAATAGTATTTTTATAATTGAATGAATGCACAAAAACGTATGATCCAACTAAAAATGAGGATCCGACCAAATATGGTTTTAGGTTGTATAGAATCGATAATCAATTTAATGTAAACAATTAAATTATGAAAGATCTTTAGTTCCGATGAGAATGAGAATATGAATAGTTACTAAAAATTTGAAAGGCGACTTGATGTTAAATAGCTTATTTTGGTAATGATAAAATGTAATTATAGGATGATTGCAGCCAAAATGCTTTGAAGTTTAGGATGATTTATGAACCTTCAATGAGAGGAATAGTTTAAGATAGTTTGGCTCTAAGACATTTAAATATGCAACATCTGCCATTCAAATTATAAGGGAACTCTTTAATAGTAAATGGGTTATGCCTAAATGAGCAAGACTTAATTAAATTATAATTATTATTTAAGTAATGAATATATTATTAAACTATTATTGAATTACGTGTCCAGATTATTATTAAAATATTATTGAATTACGTGTTCGGATTATTATTTTTTAATTATAATAATTAATATATATGGTTCTTGCAGAACTAGGAAAATCAATTAATGCAGCACTTTAAAAACTCAATAAAGCCCCTGTTGTAGATGAGGCACTAGTAGACTAAATATTAGGTGAAATAGCTATGGCTTTATTAAAAGCAGATGTTAATGCAAAATTTATAAAAAAATTAAGAGAAGATGTTAAGATGGAATTCAAACTATGTGAGGAGGAGAATATTAATCACTAAAAATTGATATAGAAAGCAGTTGTAGACGGATTAACAAGAATGCTTGAAAGCGATCGAAAACCATTTTAACCTAAGAAGGGTAATTGTAATGAAAATTAAAATAGGAAAATAAAATGTTATCATGTTTGTTGGTTTATAAGGTTCTGGTAAAACAACTACTTGTACTAAATATGCATACTATTACTAAAAGAAAGGTTGGAAAGTAGCCTTAGTTTGTGCTGACACATTCAGAGCAGGAGCTTTTGATTAATTAAAATAAAATGCCACTAAAGTCAGAGTTCCATTTTATGGGTATGAATAATTTCGAAGCTAGATCTTACACTGAAGCTGATCCTGTATAGATTGCATAAGAGGGTGTTAATGTGTTTAAGAAAGAAGCCTTTGAAATAATTATAGTGGATACATCAGGAAGACACAAATAGGAGAATGACTTGTTTGAAGAAATGAAGTAAGTAGAAGCTGCAGTAAAACCAGATGACATTGTCTTTGTTATGGATTCTTCAATTGGTTAAGCTTGTTTTGATTAAGCCTTGGCATTTAAGAAAGCAGTTAATGTCGGATCTGTTATTATTACAAAGTTGGATGGTCATGCAAAAGGTGGTGGTGCTTTGTCAGCAGTAGCAGCTACAGAATCTCCTATTGTGTTCATAGGAGAAGGTGAGCATTTTGATGATTTGGAATCTTTTGAAGCCTCCTCGTTTGTTAGAAGACTATTAGGCTTAGGAGATATAAATAAATTATTTTAATCCGTTAAGGATGTTGTGAATATGAGAGATTAGCCATAATTGATTTAAAAATTAAAAGAGGGTAAATTTTCAATAAGGGATTTGTAAACTTAATTCAATTCTGTACTTAAACTAGGATCCTTAAATCAATTCATGTCTGCTATTCCAGGAATGGGAAGTTCGGTTTTATCAAAAGGAAATGAAAAAGAATCAATCAAAAGAATTCAAAGGTTTTTGTGCATTATGAACTCTATGACAGCTGAAGAATTAGATGGTGAAGGTACATAATTAAACAAATTTAGGCAATTTAAATTTTTGTAGAATTGTTCGAATTGCTAAAGGATCAGGTACATCAATTGAAGAAGTTCACATCTTATTAGATGAACACAAGAAATTGTCTAAAGTAGTTGGAAATTTAGCTAAAACTAATTTAGGAGGAAAAAGTATATGATATTAGTAGTTTTATAGGAGGAAATGAATTTGAATAACTCAAAAGAAATCCATAATAAATGATGTAAAAGATGAAAGGGGCTATTGATCCAAGTATGCTCTAAAAATTAGGAGGAATGGATAATGTTATGAATATGATGAAATAAATGGGTTAAATGGATGGAATTTAAGATTTGATGAAATAAATGGGAGGAATGGGAGGTATGCCAGGAAAAGCAAAAAGAAGATGATCTAAAATTATTAAAAATTTTAATTCAAACAATTTATTCTCATAATTCATTTTCATTGATATCATTTAACTCTTGGAGTTGGAATAAAATCATTTAAATGCTATTTTCCATCTGATGAATTATTAAGACCCTGGCAATGCCATGAAATAGGATTGTTAAAAGCTTTTTAATTAAATAAAGACAAGAGAAAATTGCATAATATCGATTAATCTTACTAATAGAAGAGTTTAACTAAAAGAACAGATTTGTCTAATATATTTGCTTTATAATAACAAATATTTTGTTATTAATATACATAATAGTCATTGATTTTTTTGACCTAATTTTTAATTAAGGTTTTATTGCAGCATTTAATTTCTTTTTTAAAGCTCTTCATGAATTTTTTATAATTCTTCATAATGATTTTGCAAAGTCTTTAACTCTCTTTCTTATTATTTCAAATCCTATTCGTAATCTATTGATGGCAATTGATCTAATTCACGCATTAATCTATTAATCTCAAATTATTATGCATGTATTTCTTCAATTGCATCTAATTGATTTATTTGAATGCAATCCTTATCAATTTTTTTTAACTCTTCTAATCTCAATAGTTTTTTGTATGATTGTTCTAATTTATATTTTTCAGATTCAGGAATTTATGGTTCCTCATCCTCTTCCACTATCGATATGTCATCTGTTTGAGCTGAAGTGGATAAATAAACAATTAAGTTTGATTGTTAATTATTTGGAGGAATTTCCAATACCTTATACTCATTAATTTTCTATGAAATTTTGTAATTTTATAGATCTATGTTTTATAAATCTATGTCAATTTGGTTATTACATTTTGTTTGATCCCTTTAATTTTTAAGTTTTTTTTTATTACTTTCCTTTTTTAATTTTTTTAGTTATTTCTAGTCATTTAATATTTTTATTAAATTCATTTATTAATTTTAATGAAAAAAGAAATCAAATTAATCGAGTAATTATTTTTAATTCTTATACTTCTTTCTGTCAAAGAAAATTGATTATTGAATGTCAGTATAAAAACTAAAATCGAAAATTTTAATATAAATTTTAGATGTTTGGGCTAAAAAGAAGAGGATTTAGCAAAAATAAAATAAAATCATTTGATTCAATAGAACGATTCATTTGAAATTATACTCTCTATTTCCTCACATTCATATGTTTATTACTTTTGCAATTTTTCCTGCTCTTATTAGATTAATGAGATCACCTATTTACTTTAAATACTTTAGTTTGTGCTGAAAAAGCTTAGTTAAGATTTTCGTTTCTCCAATAGGGAATTAACTTTTATCGAAACCTATGAATTTTTAATTATAGAGTCTGGAGTATTATCCGAAAAATCCCTTTCAATTTCTAATTAAGTAGAAGCTCTTCTTTTGTATTGATTTCTTAAATTAGAAAAGAATCGATCTTATTTCGCTTTAGGATCTGTTTTCATTTTGATGTTCAAAGAACTCAAATAATCAACTATTGATAACTCAATTTGGAGATTTTTTTTTTTTAATTCATTATCTTCTTGGTATTCTCTAATGTTTAATTCCAATGATCTTCCTGAATAACCTCCATAGTAATCTTCTTATTAATCTACATTGATGTTTGAATATGATATCTGAGAAAGATTAAGCTCTTTTAAATTAACTGGTTATTACTATTAATCGAGGTCCATACAAATATATTTTATTAATTTTTAGATGTCAAAAATATCTGAATTATCCATTCAGACATTAGTAATAGTAGATGAGTAGTATTCTGACACAATGCAACTTTGATTCTTATAATGGGGACTCACTTTTTCAAACTTTAATCAACTCTAATGAAATATCGTTCCTTTATGACAATATACAAGCAATTGCATTTGAAAAGTGCTTGAGAATTTAAAATAATTTCATCTTCCTCTTGTAACAATGACAATTCCCTTAAAAAAAAAGAAATTGAACTGAATTTTTTTTTAGCTTAAAAACCAAAAATAATTATCATAACTGATTTGACACGTATTAATAACCTGAACATCATAAAGTGCTGATGAAGTATCTATTCATAATATTTATTATAAAGGCTAATACTCAATTTGGCTCTAATATCAAGGGCAAATAACATACTACCTTTTGTGATAATGAAAAATTAAAAATTAATTATTCATCAGATGAAATGAGATTAAAATTATTCTTTAAATTGGCTAAAATTTCAAAGTAATTTAAAATCGAATTATTGAATAGCGATCAAACTAAGCAATTAAGAATCTGCATTAACAATAAAGTACANGATGTTTGGGCTAAAAAGAAGAGGATTTAGCAAAAATAAAATAAAATCATTTGATTCAATAGAACGATTCATTTGAAATTATACTCTCTATTTCCTCACATTCATATGTTTATTACTTTTGCAATTTTTCCTGCTCTTATTAGATTAATGAGATCACCTATTTACTTTAAATACTTTAGTTTGTGCTGAAAAAGCTTAGTTAAGATTTTCGTTTCTCCAATAGGGAATTAACTTTTATCGAAACCTATGAATTTTTAATTATAGAGTCTGGAGTATTATCCGAAAAATCCCTTTCAATTTCTAATTAAGTAGAAGCTCTTCTTTTGTATTGATTTCTTAAATTAGAAAAGAATCGATCTTATTTCGCTTTAGGATCTGTTTTCATTTTGATGTTCAAAGAACTCAAATAATCAACTATTGATAACTCAATTTGGAGATTTTTTTTTTTTAATTCATTATCTTCTTGGTATTCTCTAATGTTTAATTCCAATGATCTTCCTGAATAACCTCCATAGTAATCTTCTTATTAATCTACATTGATGTTTGAATATGATATCTGAGAAAGATTAAGCTCTTTTAAATTAACTGGTTATTACTATTAATCGAGGTCCATACAAATATATTTTATTAATTTTTAGATGTCAAAAATATCTGAATTATCCATTCAGACATTAGTAATAGTAGATGAGTAGTATTCTGACACAATGCAACTTTGATTCTTATAATGGGGACTCACTTTTTCAAACTTTAATCAACTCTAATGAAATATCGTTCCTTTATGACAATATACAAGCAATTGCATTTGAAAAGTGCTTGAGAATTTAAAATAATTTCATCTTCCTCTTGTAACAATGACAATTCCCTTAAAAAAAAAGAAATTGAACTGAATTTTTTTTTAGCTTAAAAACCAAAAATAATTATCATAACTGATTTGACACGTATTAATAACCTGAACATCATAAAGTGCTGATGAAGTATCTATTCATAATATTTATTATAAAGGCTAATACTCAATTTGGCTCTAATATCAAGGGCAAATAACATACTACCTTTTGTGATAATGAAAAATTAAAAATTAATTATTCATCAGATGAAATGAGATTAAAATTATTCTTTAAATTGGCTAAAATTTCAAAGTAATTTAAAATCGAATTATTGAATAGCGATCAAACTAAGCAATTAAGAATCTGCATTAACAATAAAGTACAGAAAAAATTATGCATTTTTTATAAATATTGTAATCAAAATAGGTATTGGTTGGGAATTAGCAATTAAATTAAAAGAAGAGATTAATCAATTTGATTTCTCTTTTTTTAAAGTACTTTATATGATCTAGTAATAGTTAAGTTAAGTTTTAACCTTGGGGGATATTTTTAATCTAACCTCTCATTATTAATTTAGCACCAGGTTCAAAAAGATAACAAAATTGAATCATATCAAAATTGATTATAAATTTTACACAAGAAAATAACAAAACATTACAAGTAGAGCATCTAATCAATCTGCTGTGAATATTAATAATCATTTTAATTATTTTTAACAATTTATTATGGAAAATTCTTCAAATCAAATAAGATAATTAATTATTAGATTCTCATCTTTTAAGAACTTTAATAATTTGAAATATTCCCCTAATATATATGGCTTTATTTCCAAAATTCAAGCATAATTATTCTAACTTAAAAGTCTTTAATCTCCTATCTTATGATATTTATAAGTAGAGAATTTTAGAATGAATTCATTTTGAATAACATATTATTATTAATGCAAAGAATTACGATTGAAAATTTCTATTAATTGAAATTACAATAAATTTTGTTATAGTTTTTGCCAAATTAATTCACAGGTGTAAATTCGACTAATTTGATCATAGATTTCGATAGAGGTTTATTGTGACTATCTCTTAAATTGGTACTACCTAAAAATAGTTTGAACTGTTAAAAAGCTGATTTGATTAAACTTTAATTAAATTTTTCTTTTATCTTTTTTTTTTGACAATAATTCTTTATGTGAGTAAGGATTGATAGCTTATTGAGTAATTTTATTTTCTATAAATTAGAATTCTTTTTACTATTTAAAATAAGAAAGGTTTGCTAATTCAAAACCAATTTAGTAACATCCAGAGAAGACGAATATCTGAATAAGATTGTAAGGGTAACAAAAGACATTTAGGGGAAGGTTAATCTAATTTAATCAATTTTTGATATTATTTCATATTTCCACTTACAAATTTAAAAACAATCAAAATCTAAGTGATATTTAACAGTTTATTAAAGAAGAAATAACGATTTTAATATTTCATTGAAATAGTCCCTATATTTTGTTATTAATATTCTAGACTGTGAATTTTATTTTGACTCATAACATTTATTTGTGCCTTAAAATCAATATGAAGCTAAAACTGGGGTTTAATTTTGTTCGAAGGGATTATATGGTATTTAGTCATTTCAAAAGTCAATTAGGAATTTAAGAACGATAATATGGGAGATTAGATTGAATCTAAAGGGAATATAAATGAATGATTGAATCATAGCATTGGTTTGAATATAATATTTTTGTCGTATTATTTATTTTACTATATAAGGGTTGAGTATATAAGAAAATAAATTTAAAAAAATAAATTGAAGTATTTAAAGTGTTTAAAATAATGCAAGAATTTGTCGAATTAATTTAGGCAGCATTTTTCGCGAAAGAAAATAATTAACGAAGTTAAGCAGAGTAGCAGCTTGTGAATTTGAAGCATCAATTACCAAATGACTTTTTTTAGAAGTGCAGCTCTGTATTTATATCTCATCAATTGGATTCTCAAACCAGAGTAGCAGCAGGGACATTACTCTAGAGATGTATAACTTATGAGTAAGGATGGCTGGCAATCGGGTTAGATGTAAAGCGAAAAATCAAAGATGAGTTGCTTTCCCAACTAATTTCTAGTGATTAAAATATAAAAAAGTCAGCAGCAAGCGTAAATTTTCCATAATAATTTATTAGTGCTTATCCGGGATTTGTGCAATAGAATTGCCAAGATAAGAGTGGCCTGAAATCATCAGCATATTAGTATAGAATACTCGACATGATTCAATAGAAGTGAAAAAAGCGGCAACTATAACTCTTGGTTATATTTGTGAAGCTTTGAAAAATTAGAAGTAATCAATAGAGAAGACGGAGAGTGAAAAAGTGTTGTACGGAATATGTATGGGATTACAAGGAGAGAAATAAATCAAGTTGATTTCAATCAGAGCATTGAAGGACAGTTTGCAATTCATGGATCAAGTATTGGCACAATAATAAGTCAGGGATCATGTGACTAAGTTGTTAGTTGATTAGGCTATATCTCAAGATGCTGAAATAAGATTAGCAGCATTAGAATGCTTGATTGACTACACCAAAGCAATATTCGATTATTTAGGTAAGAATTCTAATATAAAATTTAGAATAATATATTTTGGGTCTATGGAATTGTACATAAGAAAGCATTTATCATAAAGATTTTGCGATAGTGACTATGGAAATATGGTAGAGCATTGCCTCTGAAATAAATGAGAGATCTGCTGTAAGTAATAGAACTAATTTGGGATTCAGAAAAACATAAAAGGAAGCATTGCAAATAATTTCTTAATAATTAATCTAAGCTGTCCTTCAAAACTTGCTGATCTCTGATGAGGACGAGGAGGATGACGAAGAATAAGGAATTTAGGAGGCAGCCTATAAGGCAGCATCTTCAATTAGCGAGGCTTTGGGAAATATATGTTATCAACTTTACCTAAGATTTATTGAGAGTAATTGAATTATCTAATATATTTTAGATACACTTTAAGCACAGGAATGGCAAAACAGAAAGGCTTCATTATTAGCATTTTCATCAATGGTTGAGACAGCCGATGTTTTAGAATTGTTCTAATTTTCTAATTCAGCAATTGGGGAATTTATTAAAAAACTAGCTGATTCGCATAAATAGGTGAGATATGCTGCTGGTAGAGTGATCACAAGAATTGCTGAAAATTACCCATAAGTTATTTTGAAGCATCAATATGCTGATGAATACATTAATTAATTTTCATAATTTTTGCAAGGAAACACTAAATTGACAAAATATTTATTATGGACTCTAGTTAACCTCACGGAAGCTTTCAGAGATGATCCCGTGAATTAATATGGCAAATATTACGACTATTTAATTTCTTAATTTGCTGCTGTTGTTGGAAGATAAGACTTTTAGGATGGAACTCTCTTAGATATAGCCTGGGTTGGTATCATCAATTGCTTGTAATGCGTTAAAGAGCCTTAAAAAATAAAGACATATTTGGAAGCATTTGGTAAATAAATGCTTGCAGTATATTCATAATGTGGATGGTAAAAGGAGGCCAATATATCTGGATTATTGTCAGCAATTCATATTTGTTTCTTGAGATTAGTAGTTTTGGGAGATTAGTGTGATATCTAATTGATGAACAATTTCTATCAACTTATTGTTGACTACTTTAAAAAAATCTAGACTGTCACATAAGATGGTTTCTATGCAATTAGTGCTATAGCTCAATGTAATTAATATAAATATATTATATAGATAGCAAAATTAATTTTAAATCCCTCTTGGAAGATTTCATGCAAAATTATTTAGAAATTGGTTTGTAGAAGAAATTAGAAATTGAGACATTCAAAGGAGCCATCTTATGTTTAGCTGACATAGCCAGATCCCTTTAATTTAAGGAGTTCAGTAAATACTTACGCATTTTAGAATATCTAATTACTTGTGTTAATGTAATTGATTTCGTATTATATTCTGTAGGACTAACAAGTGAACAGAGTGGCCAAGATTGCTTTGTTTGTTTGCATAGCTGACATAGTCCTGATCGCAGAACAAGATGCTGAACCCTACTTTTAAGCCATTTGGCAATTAGTAAAGAGTGGATTCGGAGCTTCGATCTACTTCACTTAGAATAAGGACATGACACAATTGGAATATTATGAAAATCTAAATGATGCCTTGTTGAATTGTTATCTGTGCATGTTACATGCATTCAACTTGAACAAGGTACCCTACCTGCCCATCTATCAAACCATATAAGAATTGTGCATGTTCATTTAAGCAACATCTGACAAGTCATTGACCCCCACAGTGGTATTGATTATGGTTAGCAATCATAGGAATATATTCGTCTTTGTGTGACTTGTCTCCTCGATTGTGTGGCCTATTATAAGCAAGTAAAGGGATAAGAGAATATGTCCTAAAAAATACTCACCAGTCCTCTTCTCATCAGCCTATTGGATATGTTAAAACAATATTCAAACTAATAAGAAAATCAATAATTAATTCTGTATGCTAATGATTTGTGCAAATCATTCCAATTGCCTTAATATTTGAATTGAGATCATCATTATATATTGTTATGTTTAATTGAGATGTGTTGTGTTCATTCCGACAGAGTAGAATGCTCTATAAATCCATAATATAATTTATAAGCTCATTAGTATTCATTGCCAAATTTTAAATATTTTTCAAAAAAATACATAAATGAAAGGAGGTAAATAATAAAAGAACAAATCAATCTGGGATCAAGTCAAAAATGAAGAAAAGGACTTCTACTACAACTTTTTGGCTAAAAAATACAGGAATCTCTAAAAGAAACTCAAGGATATTGCTGACCTAGAGGAATTACAAAAAACTAAAGAATTGAAACAAGAATAGATCTAGAAGATTCAAGGCAAAGAAGAAAACAATGAAAGAATTAAAGAATTAGAAGGTACTCTCTCGAATTGGCTCAACGCTAAGAAAGAAGCCGAACAATAAGGATCGATTATCACTATTGAAGCATATATTATAATTCTTTAAAATCTCGCCTAAGATCCATAATTGGTTGCTTTGTTAGCCCAAGACCATGAATCCACACATGAATTAGCTAAAAAATTGTAATCTAAAATAGTTGGATAATAAGGCAAAACAGATTAACCATGGAAAGGATTGAAAGTATTTGAATTACTCCTAATATTTAGTTAAATGTTCAACTCTAAGAATAAGTCCAAGAACCTAAACAAACTCAAGATGTAACTGAAACAGAACCTGTACAATAATAAGTTCAATAAGTTATACAACAATAAGAATAACCTATCCAATCTAAATAAACACCTTAAGAGGAAGTCTAACTTTAATCCAAATAGCCTGAATAGCCTGAAGTCTAAGAAACTTAAGAACAACAATAATTCAATGAATAATAACCCTAAGATGAACAACCCTAAGAAGATACCGAAAATTAAGTCTAAGAACCTAAGCAAGATCAATAACCATAAACAAGGGAAGGTTAAAGACATCACCAACATCATGACGATAGAAGAAACTACAAAAAGAATTACAATAACAATAATTATGATAGAAGAAACAACAACTACGATAGACCATACAGAGGAAACAAATAACATTATCACAATAGAGACAGAAATTATCAATAGGAATAAATCTGGGAAGAAAAGGTTGATAAATAGGCTCCTTAAAATCAAGAAGACTAATAACAGGAAGAAGATGACTACATTACCGTTAGAAGCAAGTATTATTTACCTTTATGCCATCTAGAAAACCATAGAAACCATAGAGAGGAGGTTAAAGAAATTATGACAATAGAAATAACAATAGAAATTATGAAGGCAACCAATAAAGAAGATAGAAAAATAATGAGGAAGGTGATTAATGAGAGTATCTAAAAATATATATATATTTATGTATCAGTATTAGTCATTTAATATTATCCTTAGCTAATACATTATTAAATGAAAAGATAGAATTGTAAACTTATTTAATTTTTTAACTTATAAATTTGTTAATTCCAATTTACTTTTTAGATAAATCTTTAAATGTTACTAGCATCTTATTTTTATAATTGAAATACATCCTGTAATTAATCAACAATTCCATATTATTATATTATCTTATAATAATGTACATTTTTCATTAAATCTATTGTTATGAAATGATTTGATTAGATTTGGATACAGATTTTTTAGTTTTTAAATTCAAATTATTTATTTATTAGAATTGACCTCCTATCAAATAATGATAATTACACATTCTCTAAATAATTTGAACTATCATGTTAAGATATTGTATGATTCACTTTTATACTGAAATTCTACAAGTAGATTGTAATATTAAAATTAAGTTTCTTGAAAAATTAATTTAAATAATGATTTATGCTTAAAGAGTGTTGATATTTTTTATGATATTATTAGAAAGAGGAATAACTAATTATAGAGCTGTTCAACCTTTGATAAATAATTTTAACTTCTTTTATTATATTTTCAATAATTTATGATATCACAAAAAATCAAATTAAATATTAGTTTTTAAGTTTGTATTTTAATTATTATATTGTGAAGTGAAAGAAAACAAAGTATTATAAGAATATTAACCTATTAACAAAATTAATCTCTTTTTTTCTTAAGGTACTCCTCCCTTTCTTATTACTCTAATGATTTTCTATATCATTCTAATATTACTCTTTTAGCTTCTGATTTAGCCTTCCTCTCCTGCTTATTACCATAAATGTATAAGGATGTCAAAACTACTATAAAAGGCAACAACGACGTAAACAGGCACCTAGATGAAAGTGGTTATTGATTACCATTTTTAATGAGAATATTCTTCTTAACCATTTTTTGAAATGATCAATTTCTTTAGGAGTGTCATAAGGTTCTAGATGTAGATATTTCTTTTCATCTACGAATCGAGTGAAATTACCAATGTTGGTAGATTCTAGAGATTAATTAATGATTTTATCTTTATAAAAATACATCTTATTATCAGTATCAAAAATTACAAAGGTCGGATATTTGGTTATACCAATCCTATCGCCAATAAGTTCTTAATTATAACTTTGCTAATGTAAATTGAAACGTATCCATCGCACCAATGTTTAGAGTGCCATTGTAGGGTTGATTCCATTTCTTCCCAAATTTTAACCATTCTATGACAACCTTTTCACCAGGGAGCCCAAAAGAATACAAACCATGGTTTTTCTAATCCTTCGTTGCCTAGATGAGTGACTGCATCCCAGTTATTGTCATTCAGCATAATCACAGGTGTCTATTTTAGGAATTCTAAATCTGGCATATCCTTGGAACTGGAGAGTATAAAATTCACAAAAAGAAGCTTAAATTTCATTATTTTATTTTATTATTTCTAAATAATAGATATATTTCATTCTCTTGTTGCAACAAAATAATTATTTGCTTATTCTTTGGCATTGTTAGTCCAAGCAATCTATCAATTGTGTATTATAAATTTCTTACTTCAGCCAATAATACAGTGCCAGCCAAAGTCAAACAGATGGGGGCAGCATAAGTGACTCTCTTGGGTGTGTAGACTGGAGCATAATGTTCAATGTATGATAGTCTTGGTGCCTTTGTGTAAATCAGATGGCTGAATCATATAAAATGTTTTATACTCAAGATATTAAACTGATCTCCCCACCAATGATTTGTTAGTAAAGTTTGTGAATACCAAACCAGCTCCTGTGACTGTAGAGCAAATTGATTTGTAGAGTTTGAATGAATTTGGATTCATTTATTATTTAGATATATATAAAATTAATTAATAATTTATTCTTTAATTCTTAGGTCGTTGATCTCTGACTGAGTGTCCTAGAATCCGAGGTTGACAATTGTGAGTTTGGTTTGCCTTGAATGTGGCAATTACTTATTTAATTGAATAACCATAATTTTATTTCATAAATTAGTTAAAAAAATTTGAAAATAAATGGAATATAAACGTTTGCTTGATATTTGTGAATAATTACTAAAACACTCAGGTAGTATTTCTTCTGATAGTGATTGATAGCGTTGCCTTTGGATATGCTGGAAAAATATTATTTACTCAAAGAAAAGACACTCTCCAATGTTATAGTTAATCCTTAAGCAAATCAAAATGCTTTGGTTGTGAAGATCATCCAATTATTTGCGTAATGTTTCAATTAGATGCTCACACAAAGAGATATTAATATAACCAATACCGAAACAACAATCAACCATTTATTAGTAACATTATATTTGATGTAATTAAGGACACTTACAATGCGAATGATTTGAGATCTGAATTTTCTACCACATTCCAAGTATATATAGCATATTTGAATCCCTAGTTATTGTTACAAATAAATAGTGATAGAAAGGAATTGGATGCCACTGTCACTTTCTTATAAAATGAGATAAGGAAAATCAAATTGGAATTGAACATGTCAAATTCTCGGTTAGATCAATAGAAGAAATTGTCAAATTCAGAGGACAAGGAGAGGAGCCTAAAAGTAAAGAGAAATTTAAAAATCTATAGTTACAGAGACAAATCGACGAGTTGAAGGATGAGTTGCAAACAAAAATAGAAGAACACGAAGAACAAGTTCATCAATTGCAATTTAAATATGATGAACAAATAAAAGCTTTGATGAAGAAGAATAAGGAAACCTTTTAATCAGAGTCAAAATATCAATAATTAGAAAAGGAATAGAAATAATATGAGGAATTCTTTGATAAATTCGCTGAAATGTCTTTGCCATATTTAGAAAAGTATGAAAGAGATTTTGAGAAACAATAAGCTAAATCTAAAAGATATTCAGAGCAAAATATTAGTGAAAATGAAATACTCTTAGATTTTCTGTTCTATTTGCTCTAGAAGTATGTCCCTTTGTAAGAAGACTTGAGAGAGGTCAGAAAGAGCAGTGCTAAGAAGAGCAATCAAGCAAGTCCAAAAGTATCAAGAGAAAGCAATAAGGGGGAATCCTCTGCCACAAGAGATTTGCATTTTGAACAATACAAAGTGCAAAACAATAATCAGATTGACGATACGGTCAATAAATTAAAACAAGAGTTGGAACAATCAAGAAAAACACTTGAGAAATATGAATTAAGTCGAAATAAATTATAGGTAACATTTATAAATAATAAATTAGAATTAAATATCGTGATTTATTTAATATATTTATATATAATTTAATAAATATCTTTCAATGTCTTTGCCATAAGGAATTCCAATGAATGCTGTTTATAAGCAAGTAGTTATGGAGCATAAAGAAGATGATAGAGTAGAACAATTGGAAGCACAAATCTATAACATGGAAAAAGATCATAGCATGTGGAGAAAGAAGTATTTTGAACTAGAATCCTTATATGATAAGTGTCGATATGCTGCTGAAAAAGTAAACATTCATTTGTTAATTTTAGTCGGTCTAATTAGAGGATAGAATCAATCTATTGAGATAGGATAATTCACAAATATCAGCCTTACTTAGAGAAAAAGCGACAGAATGTGAAAAAATGAGAGTGAGATTGATACAATTGGAAAATGAGAATTTTGAGTTAAATACAGTTAGATTGTAAGTAACCAAATTCAATGATCTTCTGTAATAAAAGTCCTAAGATATTGAGTTGTTAAGAAAGAAAAACTCAGAAATCTATGCTAGAGTAATTGAATTAGAAGGAAATGAATTAGTTATTAGAGATTACAAGGCTTAAGTAAACAGTTTGACAAAGGATTTAGACGTTTGGAAAAAGTTGTATGAGGATTAGTAATAAGAGAGAGTCAAGCTTTTAGAAATCATCAGATAATTTGAATAAAACAATCCTTTATCAGGATCAATTAAATCATCCTAATAATAGGTTAGTGAAGTCATTGAAAGAAGAGTTGTCACTACCTCAGAAACGACTAATAATACTCAATAATTATAATCATAGCTTTTATAAAACTAAGCAACCATATCTGATCTAGAAGATAGACTAGGATTCGCAGAGAAGTAATACGATAAATTGAAGCAAGAATTAGAAGGAAGGATTAAATTGAATAATGAACTTAAACTAAAGTAATATCATATTTGTATTATAGAATAACCTAGTAAGAGTGCGAATTAAAAAATATTAGTTACTTGAAATTAGATAATCAAAAATTAAAGGATCAACTTGATTAAACTAAAAGAGAACTTGATTAATTTAGAAAATAATATTATACTACTTTAAGTAAATTATAGATTGCTGAATAATAACTCAATGAATTATACAATTTAGAAAATAGACTCTAATTACTATAATAAGAGAGAGACACCTTAAACAAATCATTAAAATAAAAAAATGAAGACATTGGACAATTGTAAGACAAAGTTTCCTCATTGTTATCTTAAATAGAGTAGTTGAGACTTAATGATTAAGCAAGAAATGCTGCTGAAAATGAAGTTATCTAACTCAAAACTGAATTAAACAAACTCTAAGGTAATCTTAAATAGAAAGAATAAACTATCTCGGATTTACATGGAAGAATAAATGACTTATAAAAACAATTAACTAATGCTCAATCTGATTTTAAGAGGTTGTAAGCAAAGGATTACTCAGGATTATAGGATCAAGCAAAATTAGTTAATGAATTACAGTAAAAACTACTATAATTGAGCTAAGATAATTCTAAATTCTAAGGTTAAGCATTCAACTTGGAATCCAAGAACAATTCATAAGTTCAAGATATTCAAAGATTGAATTCTTTATTGTAGACCAAAACTTAAGAGCTGTCGGATGCAAATAAGAAGATTTATGATTTAGAAAATGATAAAACAATCCCTGATCTTAAGTTTTAGAACTCCTAATTAATTTCTGAGTTGAGAGAGTAAGAAACTGAGAACAAAGGATTGTAAGAGAAATTACAAATCCTAGAAAATTAAATCATTCAATTAAATACTAAGTTAACTACTGCTGAGGCTTAGGCTAATTGCAATTAGAATGAGAAAACTAAGGTTGATTAATTGTTGACTTCCTATTTGCTTCAATTATCATAATTAGAAAAAGAGTAATATATTAATTTAATACCTGTAGAGTAGATGAACTCAGAGTCATAGCCCAATAAGTAGCATAATAGAGTGCAGTAAATAAATAATAAGAATAACTCATATAAGCATTATAGAAATAATTAAAGGACTAAACCAGCTAATTCAATGAATTAAGTAAAGAGAATGAGAAATTATATGTTGATAATTCTCAACTGTCTACTCGTATTTCATAATTAAGCGAATTACCAAACAAGATCCAAATTCTGGATGAGGGACTACAAAAACTTTAATAAGATTATAATAATGAATTATAAGCCAATGAGACACTAAATAAACAATTGAACGATGCCTTAAAAGTGAAGAACGATCTAGAAAATAAAATAGCTATGTTATCAACTGAAGTTGAAAGATTTTAGTATAAATTAAATAGCAGATAAAACGAGGCTGAGTAATTAAAGAAACAAATAGTAGATTTGGAGACTCAAATAGCTTAATTGAAATAATTGGAATCAGAAAATTAGGTTCTGGCAGACAAGATTGCTCAACTTGAACAACAAATAATTAACGAAGCAAATAAGAATTTAGAGCATCTATTGAGGGTCAGTTAGGATGAAACCAAATCATATGTTTTGGATAACAATAATCTCAAATAGCAATTAGATTAAAAGGAAGTGGAAATTAAGTAAAAGGATGAATCCTATAGATAATTAGAATAGAAATATTAATAACTTCTTAGTTCAAATAAGAATTTAGAGGCTTAAAATACTCAAATTGCTGAATTATAAAATGTAATTGCAGGATAAGAGAATGATATACAAAAATTCTAAGATCTAATTGAAGAATTAAGAGATAAAAACAATGACTTAGTAGCAGAGTATAATTTAATTAAGATTAATTTAGATCTCAAAAATTGTCAATTGAATTGACTTAATAATAAGTAGAAATTGCAGATTTGAAAAATCAGATTGAAAAACTCAATACTCAAGTGAATAACAATTAAAATTATGACTAATTAATAGAAGAATTGAAGAAGAAGATTGAGAAATTGCAAGAGGAAAAAGTATAATTTGATTATATTTTATCATAGTACTAATTAGAAAACAAGGTGGCCTTATTGTCAAGTGAAATAGAGAGAATGAGAGTTAAATATGATGCCTAAGGAAATAAATTGAATATATCAGAGGAGTAGAAACAAGGCTTAACCAAGGAATTGGAATAAGTCCATAAATTATTTGAAGACTCCTAAGATGTATCTATATATTACTATGATTAAAATAGGAAATTGATAAATTGTAGGAATAGTTGTCAAAGCAAAAAGAATTGGAATAAAAGGAATAAGCTTTAAGCTTAACTTTGGTAAATGCATTCAATGAAATTGATGCTTTGAGATAATAATTGTCGAGAGTTTTTAATGAAGCTAATGAATAAAAGAAGGCCAATATAGCGTTGGCTACATAATAATAATGAGTTTTATAAAAATAAATATTAATAATTAAAAAAAATGCTCTAAAAAGCTACTATCAGATTTTATTTATCACAAGCAAGTAATAAAGAATATAAAGTTTAGGAAAAATTCCAACAATTTGGGATGTGCATCCATGCGCTTACTAAAGATTGTCGAATGCTTTATTAGGAGCTTACTCAAACAGATAATTTGGAGTTTTAATAAGAGAAAATCTTGATTTGATAACCGATCATTAAGTAGCATATGCATTATAAAGGTATGATTCTAGTATTTAATATTAAAATAGAATCAATGAATTGAATTTGGATGCTGATGAAGACTTCTATGAATATGTTTTACCAGCATTAAAGGAATTCGTTCCAAATTTAACAAGAGATCATTCAGTCTCATTTGCAATCATTATTGGAACTTGTGGTAAAATAAATGTCAAAGATGCTTCCCTTTGGCAATTATTCGAAAAAAAAATAGTGGCTGATCGTTTATACAGGTATTATTGAATTAGAATTAATAAAGATATATTCCTTTGAATGATTTAGTTAGTATGACTTAATAAGTAGCATTAAGTGATTATGGTTCTGAAGCATTTTTTAGTACGATGGAAAAGCAAATAGGAAGACATAGATTAGCATTGAGTGACGAATAAGTTAAATTGACTCAAGAAGCTTTTGAAAGAAAAAGATTAGTAGCTCCAATCATTTAGCAATTAAAATAATCAGCTTAAAAACAATTAGCATGATTCATTAGATAAATATAAAATATTATATAGTACAAATTAATGCTCAATATTTAAGATGTAGTTTTAGCTTCTCCTCTAACCAATTATAAAATTCTATGTGTTCTAAATAAACAGGATAAAAGGGAGACTTTTCAAAAGTCTTGGCAAAATTAACTATTTTTGATATCAAAATATGTGCAAACTAATTAAAAATTACATTAATTGTACTTTTCTTCCAATATATGCTAAAACACTATTAGGAACCATGGAAATTTTGGGGTTCACATTTGTGCATGCTCTAATGGAACACGAATCCTTATCAATAGGTGTAATTTCAAAAATGTAATATTTGATATACATTCTGACAAATTTAGATTTCTCTGGGATGAAAATTCCGTTCTTTTCTAAAAATTCTTTATCTCCATCTACTGATCTTGACAACAATGTGATTGTTCCATTTACTTATAATCTATCGTAACCTTCTCCAACAAAAACACATTCTCTATCTGGAATCAAAGGGAAATACATTTCTGATGTGCAAACCTTACAAGCTCTATTCAACACTTTATTAACAAAAGTTCTCTTGCAGAAGGGAACCCATAAATAATTTAAATCCATTTCATTTACTAAAGCCAACACTCTTATGGCATTTACTGGTATCTTAGTTTCCATTAGCATAGAGGCAGTAGATGTGTTTTCTGGGAATTTGTACTTCACAGAGATTCCATTACTCAACCCATCAAATATCCATCCATCTGAATCCAATTCTTTCACATTTTCAATCATATAACTATATTGCACAATTATTTAGTCTACATATTCAGCATGAGATTGATAATTTATATCGGATTTAAATTTATCTTAGGCCAATTTTGCATATTGGTAGGCCTTTATTAATATACATATTTACTTAATCAATCCTTGTTTAATCAAACTCGTATTTGCTCCTATTAATGAGTTCTGATAACTCATCTTAGGCTATTTCGATATATTTTTTTGAAGGAGGTGATTAAATTAAGGATTATTCTTCTTTCGATTATAATGGGTAAATATTATTCTCATAAAATTATATCTATTATTCTTCACAAATGTCTATGTTTTAAGCGAGCATCTAAGTCTCGGCATGTTTTTATTATAATTACTCCTCCCTCTATATAATAAATTCCCTGCCTATTCTCGATGCTTTGTAATTGAGACTTAAGCTTCTTACCTCCTAAATTTAATTAGCTAAATATCATTTGATATACTTACTTTCTTCATCAGCAATTCTAAACATAAATTCTTAAACTTCAGGATTATTCATCATAATGTTCATTAATTTCTTAATTTCATTTTTTTCTTCAAGTGACGTATTTGTCTACTCCAATAAGCTAGTTAGTATTAAATTGATTTCATTATATGTGTTAAGTTTCTCATTATCGTTTAATGAGCTTGATATTAATTCAGAAAACTAAATTGGATTTGTTCAGAAATTCTTACAATTATTTTTAGTTTTTCGAGCTGTTCATTAATCTCCTTAAGTTTGACTGCACATTGAAGCCTCTCTTGAAAGTTTACATTAATTTGCATTAATTATATTAATTTAATATATGTATATATGAATAAGTTTATTTGTTATGTATGCTACTCGTAACACTCAAAAATCATAAAATGATCGATGAGCTGACTCTGAGCAATTGATCTCTGCTAATTAGGCCCATAAATAAGTTATCTAAACTCATTAATCAAAAACTAATTAGCCTTTTATTGTGTATTAACTTAATGTTCACAAATTAATTCAATTATTTTAATATTATATTTAATCATCTTATTTTCCAATATAAATACCCACTTATTAATAAAAATCAATATAAAAATTGAGATTTTCCTTTAAAAAATACCCCTTAAAAATTGATATATATTTTTTTATTTTAATTTCTATTCTCTTTTTAGATTTAACAAATTTATATATATTATATGGAGATGATTTGAAAATTTATCTGATAATCAAATGGTAATTTTATTATAGATCTCTCTACTTTTGTTTAATTTATTAACTGTCAAAATACTCTAGAATTACTCTACCAATTCCTGAAGAGCCACCTTCTTATTATCTTACAATTCCTTCATTAAAGTATCGATCAAATGTTCTGATACTTTTGGTTTCTCTTTCAATTTAAGTTGAGGTAACTTGTCCTTGGTCTCAAATTAATCTTTGTAACTTTCAATCGATTTTTCTATCTTCTTCTATATATCTTTATTATTTTATTCATTGTTTAATTTATTCAACAACATCAATATTTCTTCCCATTAGTTTTTTTCTTCCCCTTGTATACGAGAAGAGAGTTGCGACTATCTGACTTTCTTATTCATACTGTCTTCAAATAACCGTTTGAAGACTGGATTTACGATTTATTTTGGAGGACTCCTTGAAACTTACCTAAAAAGTACTGAATTTTCATTAGCCAAATGATAGGATGTTGAAGCACCTCTCTTTCTTTAGATTCCAGGAGATGGGAGACAACGAGGTTAATCGTTCTTAACATTATTTAATGGTAATTTAAAATCTGTTTGAGTGAATTTATGTTGAAGTTGTGAATGTTCAGTTTTTTGAATTTAACTCATTTCCAATTTCTCAAATGTAATTTACGGTATTTTCAATTACTAGATATTTTAGAATATAGCATTTTCCCCTCTGCATATGGTACATAACTGATATTCAAATGAGTTTTCTGTCTATGTCAATTAACAAACCTATTAGAACTTATACATCTTAATTGCTTAACTATTTTCAAATTCTAGTTACTCCAAACTTTCAGCAACCAACCTTGTTTTGTTAATAATGGTATTTTGTTCACTGAATTCTCGAATTTTCAATAGGGAATTCTCAGTATTAATTAATCTTGTATTTATTTAAGCCTTTTCCAATTGAAGTTTTTAAATTTATTGTTTCAGCCTTATGATTTCTTCATCCTGCAATCTCTGGGCTTTTGTTAAATTTTATGATTCCTGTATCAATTATTAGTGTAGAATTCTCAAGGATGCCACTTTGGATTTCAAGATTTCATTTATTTTAATAAGATAATCGAACTATTAATTAACCTAATTGGTGTATTGCTCTAAATTAAATAGCAAATTTCTGAAGTATCCTTTATAATTATATTATTGGATTTCCTAATCAGAATTGGCTTTAAATAATTTGATGACTTAGTTCACATAGGCCCATTACCTTAAAGCCTGTCTGGCTCCCCTTAAATTACAATTGCATTCTACTTCTGGATCCTCCTTGATAATGAGACAAATAGGCTCTGATATTGTGTTGAGTTCTATGGAGCCCAATTTATTCATTTCCTATTTTAACGATTGATAATGCAAGTCTTATTGTTATCTAAGATGAGTTTTGAATTGGCTGTATTCTCTTTCAAAGGATTTTGAGCACATCATCATTTTATCAATGTAAGAGTAGTTTATTCCATATTCTGGTCTTTGGTTCTCAAACACTTCAAAGAAATAATAGCCTCCCTTCATATCCTGTATAATTTTCCATAATTCATAAGGACTCATTTGATCCAGATAGTCTTTAAAATTTTCGGGATGCTGTTTTTTATTATTAAACTTCTTTTTTAATAATTCCTCTTTTTCGTTTAAATGATTTAATAATGACTAAATTAAACTATCCTCATAAGCAGTTGGCTTCCTTCCTTTCTAAAATAATAATAATATAAAATCACCTGAACGATAGTTTGTTCTTTATTAAAAAAATTTTGTTTCTCTTCATCTGAGTTCTCGAAACAATCATCTCCAGTTAAATCGAAATTCATTCTCTAGTTTTTTAAATACCAAACATACCTAATAAATCTATTACACATCGACATTCGAAGGTTATTTCTTGACCTCCTCTAAGAATCTGACACAACTCTGTTTATAATTTTTGTTGGGAAATGTGATGTATTTGAGATCCATATCTGACAATGTGTAAATAACTGCATTCATCATTAACATATACAAGCTGTTCTCAATGTCTAAACCTTTTTTGACATTATCCTTTATTGACTGAATTATTGGAGATAATTTCATCTTTCAAGTGAACTTCTATATATTATTTATATTAATAAAATAACTTAATCAAAGAAATTGAATCATATTAATATCATATTAAAAGACCTCAACTTTTCTGCTACTGCTGGCAAGACTAGTTTTGTATCAATCATATTTTGTATGAAATAATATTAATTTTGATTTAAATGCTGAGTCCTGAATAAATATATTCCATTGTTTATAAAACTGATTCTGGAATTGAAGGATATGCAATCCCTAGATTTTACCATGACCCAGCCGAAATGATGAGAAATCGAGATTTGTTAAAACAAATAGAAAAAAGTAAGTTTCTCCATGTCTCACACTATTAGAACAAGCACATAAAAGATATGAAACCAAAAAAGGCAGCTATTTAGATGACTACACTAAAATGTTTAAAAGTGTTCCCAGTCCCTTATAATATTAATCATACTCCATTGAAACAATCCCTGAAAAAAAAGTTAAATATCCCAATCGGCTGACATTGTTTGATCAATTATAAAAGGAGTAAAAAAGGATTAATAACCCTCCTGTTGGAGCCTACAATATCGAAAAAACATAGGAACAAATAGAGAAAGAGCTCAAGGTATTGAAAACTCGCAAGGTCAAAGAACTATAAAGACCAAATCCCTATGAAGATGCCATGGCTCACAGCATTATGATTCCTGGCCCTGGAAATTATAATCCACATGTGAGATATTCTACAATTATAAAAGTCATTCCTACCAAAAATCAAAGTCAATAATACAAAACCTGAGGATTGGAGAAAAAAACATAACATTGAAAAAAATAAAAGTCTTCCACAACTTCCTCCTGTTGGAACGTACACTCCCATCCTAAGTGATTCATTTGCAAAGATATAATGCACTGCTCCTGTTAAAAGATCCTATTGGGGAAGTGAAAAGCGATTTAAAGGATTATTTGGTAGTTCTTCTATTGGCCCAGGTCCTGGAACATATGCTCAATTAAGCAAATTGTTAGCAAAAGGCGTTGAAAAGTCCATCTATTAAGATTGATGCACTTAAAATTTTTAATAATAATAAATAGTTCTTCTATTCTGTTGAAAATTTATATAATTTTTTGATTAATTAAATGAAGATATTCATTATTTATGATATTTTGATATTTAAATTATGAAAAATTTAAGATTATACAAAAAATTGAATAATTGCTAAATCACCATAAATAGAATCAAGTCCAAGTTTAGAATGAGCACAATTTTGATAATTTATTCATTTTTTATACTTGCTTTTACATTTGCAAATCTTCTGATATGTTTAACTTTGTAAATCAATCTAGCAAGCAATCAAGTTGAAGATATCTCTAATTAGTAATTAACTTTACAAAATTCCAAGTGAATTTCTTATTTAATTTAGAGCTTTAAATTTTCAATCATAGGAGACGACTCATTTATTTTAGAATGCTTTTCAATTGGCTATATTAAAAATGGAAAAATTAGCCATTCTTAACCTGCAAGCATCGATCTAAAATATGGAATCAAGACAAAATATTTCAACTTGCCAATAGGCTTAGTAGTTTGATGAAACACTTTAGAAAGTCACCTTATGTCTCTCAAACTTGGAAGTATAAAATCGATCAACCAGTCAGAACATACAATTTATCTCATTCCTAAATGTTTTTGGAGGTTTGATTTTCACTTTTGACTTCTCGATTATTTCTAAGCAGTTATATATTGTTTCTCCTCATGATCACTTCCTAACAGCTTATTATCCAACAAAATAGAAGAATGAAACCAAAGAACTAGTTGAATAAGAATGGTTTATTAACTATACAACTGTAGTTTTGCATAGTTCAAATCCCACCTTCTTTAAGCTCATTCCTTATATTAACCTACCAAATTATGATTATTTATTAGCAGGATTGACTATGTTAATGGTCGATAAAAATTATTAAATCAACGGAATTGCAGTGTAGATTTTAAATTTTCCTTAACTTACCAAAATCCTTTATATGGAATCTCTAAATATAATCTTAGTGTATGAAGATGGTAAAATTATGTACACCCAAAGCTTTGTAAATAATGGTTTAGAGAAATAAATTAGATATATTTTTAATGAAACTATCAGTGGTTTTGACTATTCAGATTGGGAGCTGATCAAATCTTCACTCAATTTTGTATATCCTCTCTACATTTACAATAGTCTATTAAATTAGAATGTATATCTTAAGGCTAAATAAATACCAAATACTCCTTTGATATCGTTGATGTATTATTTCATATCTATCTAGATTAACTAATATAACATATGAAAATGAAATGTCAAAGCTACTTCAGGAATAAATGGATTCAATTCTAAATTGGTAATTAACTTTAGTCACTTATACTTCATCTCTAAGCATCCTGATAATATTATTAAGTTTAATTCCTTTAAGATCTTTGTTTAAACCAACTTAGGTTGTGATAGAGATGATGATGAAATATTTACTCGGAAAATTTGATTATAAATTGAAGGATCAAGTTATAAGAGAAAACAAGATCTCCTAATTAAATAATGTTCTTAATTAATTGTATCAAGCTTATTAGAGGTTAGATATTACTTTAAATTAATCACAATATGTTAAAAACGAACATTGCCTGCTCATAGAAAAATTCTATTATTAATAGCAGACCAGCAAAATGGGGAGTCATTCAATCGAAAAAATTATGAATTAAAATGAATAGCTAAGTCTTTATGAATTTAAAAAATTTATAGCCCTATAACAAAATCTTTAAGGTGAAACAATAATTTGAAATTAACTCATATGTATTTTCACTTATCTTTATAAATTCGATAAAATCTGGCAAAATAATTTCATCATTAATTTTATGTTTAAATAATAGATTTATTTAATTAATATTGCAAATAATGAATTTAAAAATTATCTGACAACCACACTGAAAAGTTAATTTATCAAAATTCATTAAGATAATTTTAGATCATAAGATCTTTCGAGATGATTTTCTGGTTATTTTAAGCTGTTCTAAACAAATAACAAGAACATAAGAGATCAAACTAATTTCATTTTAAAATTACTTTTTCGATTTTTATGAAAAAAACTAACCAAATTAATTATTATATCAATTTTAGAAATAGATAAAAAAATTATATAATTTTCAATCTAAATTTGAATAATTTATTATTTAGTTAGCATAGCTATACAGTTAAGAACTAAGAACAATTTTTCAAAATAGGTTAAAAAAATTCATAATAAATAGTTAATCCATATTCATTCTAAAATCAAATTGGTAACATCTTTATGGTTATTAAAGTATCAAGCATTTTTAGAATTGTCTAACAATATTATCAAATTAATATGTAATAAAGGCTTCTTAGATTTAATATATTATTATTTTATTATAAATTAAGTGTTTCAGTGCAAGAGCAATTGATGAACAAGTTATATAAAGAAAAATCCAGTTAGCATCAATTAATTACATTATTATTAATAAAATCAGATACTAAATCATTTGAATAGAAATTAACAATATCTTAACATACAAGTAAATTATTCAATCAAAATTGTACTTTAATAAATGCAATAACTAATTATAACACTTATCTAGATTTTCCTAAAGTATTTAAAATTTTTCATACTTAGTTTAGAGGACAAAATGTAGGCATGAACGAATTAAAGTTTTAATCAATCCAAAAGTAGGCGAAATATAATTGTTTTTTATCACCTTTCTTGGTTGAAGTACTTTATTCATTTTCAATGGAATGAGGTTGCCAAAATTAATTACTTTAAGTTTGAATCATGTTTTCGGAAGGACTCCATCTTTTTAAAATTGGTAGAGCCGAATAAGACCTCTATTTTTAATGTTATTCAACTTCGATATTAATTTTTTTTTTTTATTTTTAACATTTCCCGGGTTCTTCATTTTTTCTTTGAGCATCCATTTTTTTAACTAATTTTTAGTACAAATTCTCCCTTATTTTATTTGATACTATAATTATACTTGTTATCATTTTCAAAGTTTTCGATTATTCTTATATATGAAGCATTCTAAGTATTTTATGGTTTGGTTTAAGCTAGACTAGGCCTTTGTTCTTTTAAATGGTTATTCTGAATAGATTATTTCTCAATTGATTAGTTCTTGGAAATGAAGTTTTATTTGGATGTAGCAAATGATTATTGAAGTTGTTGTTGCTATTTAGAGGGTTTCATTTTAAAAATAATTAGTTCAAAATCAAATTTATAAAAGTTTAAGTATAAAAATTAAATGAGTAATTTATTTCAAAGATGTATATATCTGTAGATTAAATGTAGAAGAACATAGGATCAAATTTATACTAATATTTATTTTATGGTTGATATCAAACATACAAATCCCTCCTAGTTGGGAATGGCTTTTGAACCTTAAAATTGATTTATGTTTCGGGTTTATTTTAAAGTATAGCTTCTATTTTTGCTTCAATTTCTGGAGTGATCAATTTTACAGCTTATATTGCCTTAAAGGTTTCCTCTAATTACTCAACTCTTGAAGCTGATGTAATGGCAGTGCTAACATCCTTATTTTTTAAAGCCCAAGCCAACGATAATTAAGCTTATGTAACATTCAATTCTTTGGCTAACTCACCTAATTTTTTTAATTAAGACTGAACTTTAGCGGCATCTTTTTTTATAGATAATATATAATACATTCTGGATTTCCTAATGTTCTCTCATAAAAACTTTTTAAGTAAGGATTATCGGTATTTTTAAATCTACCATCTGCAAAAAGATCATCATTATATTTTCCTGTCAAAATTCCTTAATATAATGGTGACCAAATGGTAGATCCATAACCTTAAGCAAAAACATTATTATAGCCCCATTCAAACTTATCTCTAACCAACATGTTATATTGTGGTTGTTCGGCAACTGGTTTGATAAGGTTCAACCTATCGCAAATACCTTGAATAATAATTTAAAGATATTACCTATAGCTTCTAATATTTATTGAGCTGTCCATTCGCTCGTTCCCCAATAATGAGCCCAACCATGTCTAACTACCCAATCAAAGGCTCTACAAACTTCTTCCAAAGGAGTTTGTGGATCATACCTATGTGCAAAGACAATGTCGACATATTCTAAGTCTAATCGCTTGAGTGAATTTCTGAGCCCTATATTATGAAATTGAGTCGTACCTTCAATAATATGTTTTCTTGAAAGAAATCTGGAATTTGGAAAATCATCTTAGGCTGTACCAAAGTATATCTTAGTGCTGACTACGTAATCTTGTCTTTAGACGTTGAGTGTCTTGAGAGCATTCCCTAATTGTATTTCTGCCTTTCCTTTTCCGTAGCCTTCTGCTGTATCGAAAAAGTTGATTCCCAACTCCCAAGCTTTCTATATAATTTTGATATTCCTCTCCAAAGTTTCATTGTCGTCTGCGTTTAACCAATTTCCAAATCCGATGGCAGACACTTTGAGTCCTGTAGATCCTAGTCTTCTATATTCCATTATGATATAAATATTTTCAATAAATTATTGTTTATGAAAGAGATTGCATTCTGAATTCTTAAATAAGAATATAATGATATTATCATAAATAATACTTTACTAAGTGATATTAATTAAATGTGGTCAAGTTTCAGCAATTATAGCACACTTTATGATGTCAATGCATTTGTGTTCAGTCTCAAAGTGATTAAATATTGCTAAGGCCTACATATAATCATATAATTACATCCAAATATTAAGAGATCCCATTTAGTTCTTTTATTGAACTTATGTAAATGATGTCATCCAAGATATCTTGAGCATCAGATATCGTGTACTTGTAGAAGATATTCTATTTCACATGCTTACCAATTTATTGGTACACGTAATTCGTCAAGTGTCCAACTATTGATTTTATTACACTTGAATGGTAGTAATCAAAGGTTTTTATTATTTAGGGATCTTAACTTATCAATCCCTAAATAATAGCTTTTACTTCAACAGCATCAAATTAATTCAATCCAATAATCTCCTTAACACACCTAAGGTACTGTTTATACAGCCATTTGCAATGATTCCCCTAAGCGAAGAAAAACAATCCCTTTAAGGGATGCTTATTGTCTTCAAACCAATTCTTTAAGCTGATTTCAGCTAAATCTATCATATTTTAAGCTTTTTAAATCTAATTTAAAAATTAATATGACTCACATTATATTAGATACATAAGTGAAATAATAGGATGAACCATTTGCTGTTTGATTGGTAATATTTTTAAATATCCATCAATCGCTTTTTGAGCACTTTATGAAATCCAATTATTTATCAATTTTTTATTCAATCCAGATTTGCAGGCTTAAAAGACACTCAGTTAAAAGTCCAATATCTTCAATTTGTAATCAATTTCAGTCACATCTGCCAAAATATTCAATTTCAGAGAATAATACACCTATTATTTCTTCTCTTCATTTTAAATTTTCTACTTGATGTCATCAATTTAATTGTCAGGATCATCGATAAGCTACTATATCAATGTCAAGTCTTCAACAGACTACAGAAATTTAAAGTATTCAGCATATATCATCTAAAGATAGGAGACATGCAATCTATTGTCTAATCCTAATTGCAATTAAAATAGTAGATTTATTTTAGGCAAGTTCTACTCTAAGTTGATTAAAATTCGAATGTGATTCAAAATGGCTTCATTCATAAAATCATTATTGAATAGATGAATGTAATCCGAATCTTCACTTTCATCTATTAGGTACTCGTATTCCATTATTTTTAGTTGCTTTAGAGTTGAATTTATTGGGTATTCTCGGTGCTAAGTATATTAATTAACAATACCAAGGCATCGTTCACAATCGAAACTATGATCTTTTCCTATTTAAGGAATGTATTAATATATTGAAGAACTTTGTGGGAGTATTTTAAGGCATTCTCGAAGTCAATCAAATTGATGTAATATTTACATTAGAAATGAGCTAAAACAGCATATATCAAAGTTCCCTCTTTGTAATCATTTAATTTAAGACTATATGTTTAATAGGCTATTATAAATACATAAATTATTGTTTTGGCTCCATCTGGCCAGTCATAGAATTCACAACTTCCAAATAGCATTTATACAAATCAAAATATCTTATTAAACTAGATTGATTCTTTAATTGTGAAATAGATTCTGACACGATCTCCTAAATTAAGAAGTAGTCCTAATTCATCAAAATATTGAATAATAAGTATTAGGAATGAAATTTAGGTTCATCAAAATATTTAAAATCGCTGGTGTATTCATACAAATATCTTTATGGGTATGGTAAGTACTGATTCGACTCTTTATAAAGACTCTCTATAATCTACAAATCTTGTTCGAATCCTGGGTGGGTTCTATGGAAAATGAAGGCTTAGGATTATAACAATCTAGAGGTAAAACTATAAATCAAATCCACAATCTCTACTTATTATAAATAGAGGAAAGCGTGCAGTAAGCCCAGTATCATTATAGATGGTTAGATTTCGTCTGTTATGCTATCTTCTATCAACTAGATTGATTTTTTTAGACTAGTATGCTACTTAAGACTGCAATTCAAAAATTAACAAAATATTTAGTATTATTAATATTTAGTCAGGGAGGAATCGATCAGAAACTACCCTGCCTATTTGTTATTTATTTGGGTGCATTTCAGTATTTAACAGTAGAATTTTGGTTTAGACATAAATTTCTTTATTTATTACACAGCATAATTGGCAATTTCAGATTCTCCTTAACCTAGATTTTCTATGTGTTTGGGGGAATACGTAAAACAAATAGATAAGAAGTAGAACATTTAGAGTTCCTCTAAACATTACTAGAAAAACCAAGAGTCCTTCCTTATTTTAAATTGGTTATGATATTCTTGCAATAGTCTAATGTAAGAGATTTTGCTTGAAAATCTAATTGACTTAGTTTTAATCTATCTAGGTATGGAATGACTAATAGGTTAAGAGTTATCCAAATGCAAGATTTATTAAATTAGTTTAATTTGAACTAAACAATTGTAGGAATCTAGAGTAATGGGTAATTTGAAATTAATTTTCGACAGTAGAAACTTTCTATTTTCAAGTGTTCGTTGGAGATTAGAAAAGATGAATATTTATCTTTTAATAACTTCATCATCTTTAGAAGTAAAGAGATGCAAGTATTTATGGCTCGATATTTCTTACCATTTCATGATGCTGATACATAAATACTTTCCTATCTCACACTTCATTTCCTACTATAAGTCTTGTTCAGGAACATCTTCTTTTCTTAGCAATTTTAATTGATTTTGATAAAATTTAAATACTGGTTCATATACACTATTTAGTTCCTAAAAGTCGTTGTAATAAAATTAAAATTACTCATTCTTACTATCATAAAGATTTATCAAATATAAAAATTTTAAGTAGAGCATCTAAGTGCAATATAATTAGTCTCCATTAATCAAACAGCCAGTTCTTGTATCTGTGTTCTCTATCGCTATTTGCTCCTCTTCTAAAGGCGAAGTTTATTCAAGATTGATTAGTCCTGGACTATGATCAAGTGGGACATTTAAACATTAAGGGGCTGGTTCTCTTAATACTAATTTTTCTTAATTAGATATAACCTCCAAGTATTGAATTCCTGCCATAATATAGTTTTGATTGAAATAGTAGTCGATTGCTTTGATAGTTTAAAATTGATTTAAATATCTTTGCAATTAGGTCTGATATTGAACAATTACGAGAATGTAGTCTTAATTCTTTCTTAAAGTGTTTATGAGATTCAATCTTTCAAATGAACTGATAGATGATTACTTTTCAGAAGTTTGTTTCAATTTTCTTTTCAAGACAATACATTATTCAATTTCTGATAGATTCTCTAATTTCACATTCAAACTTAACTGTCTAAACATTACTCTGATTTGTGCACTGCATCTTTTTAACCCATCAATCAATTAAGATATTTCATTTTCGAAATCTTTTCTAACTGCAAACAGAGAGCAAATCTTAAAGTAATAAATCAGTAAAGTATCCAAAACCTTTTTGATTTCATTTGATCTCAAAATGTAATGACTTAGGTTTTTAGAAAACGAATTTACAAAAAAGGGTAACAATTCTTAGGTAGTTTGATATTGAGTGATTCTTAGGTATTCTTCTACTTCTTTTATTAGAATCAGGCATTTATCGAATTACTTGATTCTAAGATGGAAATTGATTTGATGCTTCATATTTTCCATGTAGACTTGGTAAGATTGCTCTTTTCTCACAAAAGCTAATTAGAAGTCAATCTCCCAAAAAGACTTTTGATCCAACATCATATCCAGAATTTGGATCGGAGTTTTGTCAGCATGAACGATTTCTATTAAAAAATACTTTAAGGGATGGTCTAAATTCAACAAGGCCTGCTCAAAATCTTCAATCGGTTATAGTAAGATCATTTCAATAACAACTTAAACTAATTGCCACACTTAATTGTTGTCCATATTGACTGAATTCAAAATCATGTATTCATTTTGAACAAGGATATAATTATAAATAGACACATTCATTATATGATGTTTGGTCATTATCTTTAAATTAGCAAATATGAATTATCTCAACTCATCCAATGTATAATGCAAGGCGTATTTCTTTCTGAATTACAATACTTAATATAAACTCTTACACTCTGAACATTGATACAATGATATGCAATATCCTTTGATAAAAAAGTCATCAATTTAATCAAGTATATTCAATTATTTAATAAAGTTCTAACTTTCCCCCAAATAAACTCCCAATTCATCGTTATGATATTGTTGAAATTGCAATTGCTAACCATGTCTAACTTAAAAAAACTACATTAGATATTCCTTATCTTCCACAACCACTATCCAAAGTATGTCATGCAAGTGTTTCTTCATTTTTATATTGGGAATCTAATTAATTTCATCAAGAAAATAATGCATCGCATATTCTTCGACTTTTAAGGAATGCTGCTCAAAAATGTAAGTGTCTTTAGCTTTATCAATGACTTACTTATAAACTTCAGATTTCAAAGACTCCAGATAATAAGTTTTTTATATTGTTCGACTGCTTGTTGATGAGAATACAAATTGTTTTTTTTACCTATATAAAATTATCAATTATAATATACTCGTATTCTAATTTGTTGAATAAATCAATAAATTGAGTGAAATTGTATCTCTGAATGCATGAATATTAAACAATAGTTCCAAATTTCTTATGAATGTCTGATTCAAATTGAATTTCCTCTAACTTTTTAGTAGCCTCATAGTATTCTAATGCATATTAAATAGATTGCTTTCTTAGAGTTTACTTTCTGAATCCTCTAAAAAACAAACCTTTGTATCTAAATATTTATACTTTTCTACAATTTAACCAAGATCTCTTCTCAATAAATTTCTGATATTTATATACCAATTCGTTGTATTCTTTGACCTCTTCAGATGTGAGTGTATTACCAAACTATCGAAATTGTTTTCTAAATTTGAGCATAGCCTGATTTCTATAATATTCATGTTGTTTGTCAAAACTCTTTTTCAAAATTAAGTATCTCTTGTAATCCAAATTATGGAACAAATGTGATTTCCTTTAAATGTAACTTTGAGCAATGAATAACCTATAATCAGTCCAAAACATATTATAATTAGAGAGAAGATTCAATCTAAAGAAAAATCTCCAAATTTTAGTTCTGACTTGAATGAGCTACTTCTCTCCCTTCGATGATGATTGAATTCTAAAAGCCCAATGAATAGATCTTCTTGAGTAGTATTTGAATAGGAAATCATAGTTCAATTTCTAGACTTATTTTATTTTTTTCATACTATCCTTTACTTTTGATTACATATTTCTTCGAGTATATGTCTCCTGTCTTACAAACTAATTTACAGGGACAATTAATTAATTACTTGATTAGTCAAACGAATCTGCCTATATTTTCTTTTGAGTATTTTAATTGGGCGTAAAAAATTGCTGCTATTATTACTACTTATTATTAAGATTTAATTGATTCATCTTGAAATTAAACATTTCTTCTTCATACACCAATCTCTTCGAAATTTATTTACTATTCTTAGTGTAATAGTCAGCAATTTCATCTTCAGAACTAATTGTTTCGAAACGTTCATATTTACGATAGATAGATGATCCAAACACTTTAAAAAGAGGACATCTTTACAATTTTTATTTGTTATCCTACTGAGACAATCTGTTTAATTTTGATTTGCTTTAAATATTGCTTTTAAATATATATTAGCTTCTTTTCACAATTTGATCCAAGATTATGGGAGAATTACCGAATATTGAATTAGTAAGGTATTTAACAAAAAAGTTATAAAACAACAGCGCTAAAAATAGAATGATGACTTGATCTTTCATCGTCTCATAATAATATATGCAAATCAACCCTGTGTTACTTAGGAGGGTCATATAATTAATCAACTAATAAAAATCATCCCAAATCCCTAAAGAACCATCTCCTTTTGGCCAAGGTCTTTGAGAAATGTAGAGTAGTCGTAATTTAGATATCTACACTTACAAGATATTCCAAATCCAAAATAAGGTTATACTAAATGGAAATAAACAACCAAATATATTTATTAATGTTAATTACAAAAAAAAGTCCATGTGCTCATCAATGTTTCCATATTTTTCAACACTTTTTTAAAAAGGAATTCTTTGTTCCTAAATTTCAATAAAATCACACAAACTTTGCTGATTGTTTGGGTATAACTTTTAAGGGTTCTTCACCATATCGTGTTGGAATGTCATTAAGAATTTGATTACTTACATCAAAAACATCAACATCATTGTAGTCCCAAAATAATACTCAACATTATGTTTACAATTTTCCTCCTTACAATACAACTGCAAAGGGGAATTCAGAAAACTAACCATCAACAATGGGACAACTTGAGAAGAACAGCGTAATGTGTACTTTTTTATGATATAACTAGTTTCATATTGATAAGATGTCTAAAAATTCTCGAAATCTGTTAAAATAGTAGCAATCTGTTCATAAAATGAACTAATTAATAATTAAATAATATAATTGAGCGAAGCTGTTACTATGACCTCAAAATATTAAAAGTAATTTCCTAAATCAATGAATTCAGATCTTAAATACAAATTAAAGAAGTATAGTCCAATTATTCTCCCAATATCAGATCCAATCAGAAATATTAAGATGAAAATAGATATAACCAATCTCTGGATGAATTTAGAGTGTATAACTCCTATTGAATTCAATTCATCATTCTCAATCGACCTTACATTTTCTCCCTTAAATGAACTGCGTATAATACTCTCTTTGACATTTCTATTTTATCCAAACTTGAGATTAAAAGTTAACTGCTATTAATGCCAGCAGTCTGTTTAAAAGGAATTCCAATGAACAATTAAAATGGAAAAAATCGATACGGTTGCAGTGTATATTTCATTATTGTAGCTCTATGATATGTACAACAACACACTAAATAACAGTCCTAAGGCTGCCATAGGAGTTGAAAATTTAATGAAGTAAGAAGTAAATTCAAAATACAATCCTATCTTCTCCCCAAAATAGGAACAAATATTATCAGTTGGTGAAACCCATGGATGTAAATAATCCAGATTCCATTCACTTGCGATGTCAAAAGGCTTTTTCTTATAGTTATGCTTTTCTTCACTTACTGCTTTTTGGATACTTTTACATTAGCCAAATAATTCATATTGATCATGCAAACTGAAGAGTTATTTGACAAACTATAAATTGATCAAAGTATTTAAATTAATAGTTTAAGTAATAACAGAAGATGCTAATTTCAATCTCTCATTATTCGGAAACAATGTAATTGAGTTTTATTCATTTTTAATGTATCTGCACCATTTAAGTTTGTATTTGGCAATATTCTTTAAGGATTCCCCAATGAAATTGACCTTAAAAGGAACATATAATTCAAAAGGTTTTTAATGGTACCTATCCCATATTGTTTTTAATTGTTGTTGAGAACAATTGGCAACCTTAAGAGCCTCTTGAAAGATGTTCAAATAATTATGAGCTAATTATTGCTATTTGATCAATTTGATGGATTTTAGTTTTGGTAGATCAGCTATCAAAGGAACATTGTTCGATAGATCTATTAACTCCCTCACTTTTTCATACATTTCACTTATTTTGTCAGAAGCTTCATCACTTAAATCAGTAAATTAATTTATCTGTTCTTTTCGATTAGTTCTAATTCCATAAAGTTATTCAACTGTCTTTTAGCCATCTACACATAAAGCAATATCGCTATCTATTTGATGTTTACCTCTTTCAATCTATATATGCTTATTTAAATGAACTAAATATTTGTAATATGCTGTCCACTCTTCTTCCGTTGGCCCATCTTAATCCCCATATAAATCGGACTTTCCATATTCAAACAGTTCAATATTTAAACCACTTTGACCTACTTCTCTAGCCAATCTTTTGAAGTTAATCTATTTTATTTGATCAATGATGAGGGGTCGTAAGTATTCTAAATAAGGAGAATTATCATATTCATCTGGTCTCCATAACCTGCCATTCAATCTGAGAGGACGATACTATCTATCCACAGGTTCTAAGGACAGAAGATCTGTGAAACAAAAGCTTAATTTCTTTGGCAATGAGAAATTTTCAGCAGCAATTTCGAGCATCTTCTCTGTCATGTACAAACAAAGATAGATGGTTTATCCGTCTTTGGATATAAATGATTTCACATTGAATCCTTTTCTTGATAGTTAGATTATTAGGGCATTTCTGATGAGAGTCAAAATATCTTGGGTTTCATTTCTGGTTCGATACCACGCTTAACCTTATCGTTTGAGGTATTCTCCTTAACTGTAGGCTTTCTTTTAAACGTATTCCAATTTCTGCATGTCAATTTATAAACAATCAGTGATATTATTTAAACTGCCTGCATAGTGTGAGATGTTATCTTTTAAATAATTTCTAAACTTTTTCACTAATTTACTCAATTGATCTTCTTTTTTATAAATTGGGAAATCGGATGTTCTATTCAATTAGTTGACTATGTTATCCACAAGAATTAGGGAATTGGGACTTCTATCTGGGGATTTTTGAAATAATTATTACGAAGTTCCAAATTATACCAAAGTATTTCTTTGTTATTGTTGATTTGAGTCTATATTTCTTGTTTTTAATTCAAATAACGAATATATTTTTCGATCAGCGAGGTGAGTAAAGGCGTTTTCCAAAGCCTTAATAAATAGTTTATCATAAATGGACTTATCATCTATCTAAAGAGACTTTACAATTGATTCAAAAATTTCAAATTGCTTTATATTGTAATCGTATTCATCTGGAATCAAATCTGGGTTGGGAAGACTTTGAAATTCATAAATAAAATTACATTATACCTTATGACTGCTTCTGGTAAATCAAACTCCATTATTGTATTCTCATCCAATTATGTAATATTGTTGAAAGCATAAAATCGTTTTTCATCTGCGCGCCCAATATCTTGACCCAATAGCATTTTCAAATAGATTTCATATATCTTAACATATTCCTCTATTTAATCTAATTTTTTTTATCTTCTAGTTTTATGTGTTATTTCTGGAATCAGTTATTGAAAATACTAAATTGAGAGTTTGGAGGTAAAAGCATGCATTTTGCTTTATCTACTTTATCTTTAATTCATGAGAATATAAAAATTCAACTTAAGAATTTTATTATTGTAATTATAAACTTTCCAGCAATGAATCTTCAATTTCTTTAAAAAGAGTATAATAATTTAAATTAAATTAAATCGTAACATGAATTATATATATTGAATTAAAGTACATCAATTTGATTATTATTAACTTCTAATTCTGAATTTAACCATAAATTAATTGATTTAATGCCAACAAACACTAACATTTCATTACAATTTAGCGACTCACCCTCGATGATTGATATGTTAAAATCTTTAAAAATTGAATTAATAAATCAAGTTTAAATAGAGAATTAAAAAAGCAAGAAATTGATATTATTATAAAACTATTACAAATTAGTTATAGAAATTTACTGATTTGATAATTGTTAGGATATAAAACCAAGTTAGGAAGAACTAGCGATAATATATTAATAAGAATCAAAGTTTTTTGTTCTTTAACATTCTTACGAATTCTTCAAATGAGATTTTTCCATCGTTATTACCATCACAATCTGAAAGAATTTAGCTCCAAACATCATCACCAAGGTCCCCCATTATAGATTCTAATTCTTATTTAGAAATAAACCCATCTCCATTCTATGACCATTGACAAAACAATTACCAAATCAAAAATCTTGAATGCCTACTCTACTCGTTAGACCGATAATAATTTTTCTTAATTTATAGCAGCCATGCAAAATTCTGAAAAATCTATCATTCCAGATCTATTGATGTCAATCATATCAATCATTCTGTCAACCTCCTCTTGTGCATACTTATAGTCCAATTTCAACTATTGATATCCTTTGATTAGTTCTTCTTTAGAAAGATACCCATCATTATTAATATCAAGTCTTTTGAATTCATTTTGTAATTCAGATATTTCCTTCTAAGTTGACATCTAGGTTATCATGTATGACATTAAGGCTTATTTTAAGATAGTTTAAGCCTTGAAATTAAATTGATATCAAAAAATACCCTAAATTGTCTGATGTTATCAAGAACTCTTTTATTGACTTAGGATGAGGGAGCATATTTAACTAACCAAGGATCTTCTAAAGCTTATTTTGCTGATAATCTTTTGTTTGGATCCATTCTTAACAATTTTGTGATGAATTCTTTGGCTTCCTTAGAAATTTAATCCCAATCCTCAGCTAAATGATATTTAATGAGGAAATACGATCAAAATTAAACTTTCCTGCTTTGACTCTTTCCAATATTTGATTTTCACTCTTGCCTGAAAATGGAGGATAACCACACAATAGAATATATAAAATGATTCCACAAGACCAAATGTCACATTTCTCATTGTATTGATGATTCAAGACTTCAGGAGCAATGTAATAGGGCTTTGAATAGAAGGGGAAAAATTACTGTTCCTAATCTTTTACTCATTGCTTTTGTATTGTCAAATTTTCTGGAAGTTCCAAAATCAATGACTTTTAATTAGGAATTAGGATCTTCATTGATGAAGATGACATTCTCAGGTTTCAAGTCTCGATGCACTATGTTCTGTTGATGACAATGCATAGTGGCTAGTAATATTTATCGTATGTAATCAGCTGCTATGTTTTCACTAAAGGATGACATTTTTTTGATTCTATCAAACAGTTCACCTCCTGATAGATACCTAACGAATATATAAAATTGTACTCAGTAACCAAATAATAATTATTTTCATCTTGATAAAGTTCAAATAATTTTACTATATGAGGATGGTCAAGATTCTTTAATATGTTCATTTCTGAAAACATTCGTTATTCATCTTCTTTAATTAATGAGCTTTTTTTTAATTACTTAATGGCTCTTACTAATCCAGTAGTTTTATGGGTTACCTTCCAAACCTTGCCAAATGCCCCTTGTCCCAACACTTTACCAAAATTATAATGACTCCCAATTGATCCTTCCTTGAGTTTCACAAAAATATCATGTCCTAGTTTTATCCTTACTCCTGGTACTTAAGGGTCATTTTTTTTTTTTATTTCCTCTTTACCTGTAATTATGTGAGACGCATCACTACTGTCAATTTTCGTTACTGGGGCAGATTCTTCCTTTTTAATGAGTTCAATCTCTTTTTTTGGCATCTCCTCCTATTATTCAGCATCCTAGTTATTTTCACTCTCTAAACAATAACCTGGCTATTAAGCCACATTCATTTGTTAATCCTCCTCTATTTAACTTTTTTTACTGCCTTATTAAGAAAGTGAGACCTTTTATAAAGGATTTGGAGAAGCATTCGCAGTTTGTTCATTTTATAAAATTACTTCTTCTATGAACAATCTTAATTACTATACCTTAACAACGAATGTTATTATTTTTACAGCATTGACTTCCCATTTCCAATTAATTTAATAAGAAAGTTAATTATTTATAAATTCAACATATGTCAAATCAGTATCATGTAATAATTAGAAATTCATATCGTTATATCGATTTTCCAAAACATCCTTTCTATTCTCATTACTAATCTAAGAATTCAATTCCTATCTCTCTCTCTCACCTCAAAAAATCTCTTAATTTAAGATGCAATCCAACGACTTCTCTTTTTAGAACCATAGTTATAAATCCTTTAATGAGATAAATTGACTTAGATCTAAAATGCAAGCAAGAATTAAGTACAATAATTCAATATACTTTGTTCCAGAAACTATTACTATTTTCTTATAAAATATATTAGTGAACTGATTATGTTAGAATAACTAATTCATTGATACATTTATAATTAATTAAAGTATTAACCCTTTTGAATTTTTATCCAAAGTCTAATCCTTCAAATTGAGAATTCCATTCATTAAGTCCATCACATATATCTAATTGGGAAACAATAAAAATCACGTTTAGTTAACTTTTAATTTTGATTATTTTTAATTTTGGAAATTTTATTAATTTCTTAGAAATTATATAAATAATTATGCAAAAACCTATTACCACAGGGGATTAAGATTATAACATTGTTAAGGCTGACAACCATCATGATTCTGATGAGGAATTATAAGGGAGACAGGAGAAGAGTTCAAAATTAGTAATTGAGGACGAAGAAGAAATGAAAGAAGTTCCCCAAAATCAATCGAACAATACTAATATCAAACAAGAAGTCTAACCATAAAAATAAGTCCAAAAGTAATAAGAAATATAATAAGCAACTAATGAATAACCAAAAAAAGTTGTAGCTTAAGTTTATCCGAAATTCATTAATTTTGATTATCAAGACATTAATATTAAATTCAAGCCAGAATGGAAAGATAAAAGGAAAATTCCTGAACCAAATAAATTTGAAAAGAAATCCACGATAGAAATCAAAGAGCCTATATTATACACTCTGAATAAGCAAAAAACAAAGCATGGGAGATCAATTTTTACATCTTTATTTTCTACAGATTACAGATACATCTATCTCACAGATGGATACATGTACATTTTGCAATTGAAGAATGATAAGATGTTCGTAAAGAGTGTGAACTCTTTGTAGAGATTATTTAAAATAATTCTTAAGGGAGATTAAATTTAATTATGCTTTATCAATGCCAACCTAGATAAAACTAAACCACCTAATGTATGTATTTCTGTTCTTATATATAAAATAGATCAAATCATATGAATTCTTAAAGGGTAAAGAGTAAAAAGAGAAATTATTGATGAGAATGAGAGGAGAGATTAATAAATTAGGGTATGATTTTGATTTTATGAAATGAATTTTATTGATAAATTTATTTAATTAATTATAATCGTTATTTTTTAAACATTTTCACTTGCTTTATGAAGAAAAGAGAAAGTATTTCTGAACCTCCTCTAGATAAATTAGAACAAATAAGATAGAAGTTTTCGAAATAATTAATCAAAGTAAAAACCAAAGGTTTTGTGACCTGTAGCATTGGAAAATCAATATAAAATGATCCTGGATCAAGAATATCATTTGGGAAAAGCTCCTTCCTGGAAAAACTCTAATCAATCAATTCATTTGAGGACGATGAGAGAACTTTACTAAAGTCTATTTAATTTGATGTTCAATTGGCAATTAAAAGATATTAATAAAGAATTGAGTAAATCGGATAGTTGTAAGTCGAAAGAAGTTCACTAAGATCATGCTAATAAGATATTATGCAATACTTTACAACTCCTTAATAGGAAAAAAATGATGCACAATTGGATTCATAATTGTCCTCTAAGAGATCTACTTGCAAAAGTATTAAATAGAATACAATAATCAATCCTAATTCAAATAAGTTGATGCCATATAATAAAAATGTTTTTCAAAATAAGAATTCAAACAAGACCTTCAAAATCATAGCTGAGAAATAGAATAAAGCAAAGTAGAATAAAAAGTCAAGCAATTAGTCTCTTACAGAGATTAGCATGCATAAGAAGAAGCAATCTAAAGATGGAACTCTTAGTTAAAAATCTGTTTCAACTCGTTAGCCAAGTGTAAAGGATATAGCAATTAATTTAGAATAAAGAAGATCTACTGGAATGATATTGAGAAATCAATCAAGATAATCAAGAAATTCGCTTAATTCCTTTGATAACAAATAACCTGTCAAAACAAAAAAACTTTAGGTATTTTGAATTCAGTTTAAAAATGTTTGGTTTTTTAATTCAAATTATATGAAATATTATTAAAGGAATAATAATTTATGTTTTCAATATAAAAATAGATTAAAATTATTGAAGATCAATAAGAATATAATTCTTAAGATTATTTGATGTTCAAATTGAATTTCATATTACATCCCATTTAAATAGTAACGTAATTTGAGAATAATTAAAATCATTATAATATCAATTCAACCTTGAAATTTCATCATTCTCAACAGCTAATTTGTGTAAAAAATGGCTAAAGATTATATCATTGATTATTCCAAAATATGATAAAAAACCAACTTGATTTACTGTCTAAAACACACACGCATAAAAACGGGCTGACCTTAATGGAATTGAATAATTAATGATTATGAATTTTTCATAAATTCAAAACTTATTGTTTATTATAAAAATATGAATACGCTTCATGAATATTAATTATAAGTGCCTTTAACTAAGCAACATGAAAAAACTACTGAACAGTCAAATGTTGAAGGGAGTCTTACATTAAGTAGGGAGAGATTTATTTAAAAATAAAAGAAATTAGTAATTGATATCTTTTCTCTTAGTAAATTAATACAACCAGATTGATACCTATTGCCAGTGAAAAATTACCTAGATTGTCTCAAAGCAAATCTCCAATCTAATCAAAAATAGCCAGAGCGATAACAGAGTATCAAGCACCATCAAAATAATAAGCAATGAAATTTTTTAAAGCGAATACAAATACAGAAAATGAAGGAATCATCTATACTGATGATGAAAGAGCAAAGCTGAAATTCAGGAGAGAGGAGAAAAAACCAAAAACTACTAATTATAAAGCAGGCCTTTATGAAAATACTTAGAATAAAAAATTTGCTGAGTTTGCAGAATAGATCAGAAAACTCAAAGATTAATTGGATTCTTTATAGGTATGCTTATGTATCTTACCAAGAAATACTTGAACAATTCACGAAAGCTGTTTTTAGTAGTTAGAAATATTGTTGAAAAAAGAAAAAACCTTAGGAAAATTCTATTAAAGAATGGTAAAGATGAACTTGTAGAACTTTCAGACATCGAAAAACTTTGCAGTGTAAAAGAATTCGTCAATATCAATGGAGAATAAAAACTTATTGATAAATTGAATATCTCCTTATTAGATGACATTATCTATGCAAATGAGGTCTTAGAGAATTTAAAAATTTAGAATGAAATTCTAGATATCAAGGAAATGGCTGATTAAGTATGTTTTAATGAAAATTATGATTATAATAGAAAAAAATTAAATAAACAGGTTGAACAAGATTTTAAAAATCAATTAGGAGGAAGATTTGAAGTTATCCTTCACATCTATTGCAATGTCAAGGTACAATTTGCATGAATAAATTGAAACCTTCGAATAACGATTAGGCCCTCTCTAGTCAATTAAAAAAAATTTAAAGCAAACCTCTTCAGCTATTACCACATTTGTAAAATTGTTATGTGATAAGTGAATGATTTCTATATTTGTGGATTATCTATTTAATTTTATAAAAAAAAGCTCTAATATAAATTATTATTTATACTTTACTATGATTCTCGAAGAAGCTGTAATATAAGATATTTCTATTTCTAGCTTGGAGTAGAGGATGATTATGTCAGATTGCAAAAGATTGCTGAAGGAATTAAGCAGATTTCATAAAGCTTGAAAACCTAAAAAAATTTCAACAGTCCTTCTCTAATCAAACAATGTAATTGGAAATTGCTATATAAGTGATTTGTTCATATCCATTTTCAGACGTCACCATTGAGATGCTCTTGAACGAGTGTTTTGAATAACACAAAAGTGACCCCAAATTCATTATGGCATTCCATAAGGCATTACAAGAAGTGGCTATTCTTTAAGAATTTAGACAATTTCTAGGCACAAGATCCTTATTCAATAAATAAAACCGTCAGCTATCTCATAAGTAAGGAAATGGGTATAATTTTAGCAATAATATTACCTCAATACTTAGAGAGTAACTGAAACAAGGGTCAATCCCTTTTAGCAGAGAAGTCATAGAAAGATTAATAATTGCAAAACGATTTTCAGTAAAATTTATTATCCCAATATTTACTCTGTCTAAAGAGTACAAATTTGATCTGGAATAAATGGCATCTATATTTAAACTTTTCTTAATGCATACTAAAAACGAAGAATTCTAACTCCAAATTATTGATATCTACGAAGAGTTAAAACTGTCAATATTTAAAGATCTCGAATGGATTGAAGAACACAATTAAGAATTAGAAGATTGTAATTTATTATTTATATATATTCTTAGATTTCATATAAAATAAAATTAAAGTCCCTTAAAAATTAATCCAAAGTAAATTGATGCATATTAAAAATAAAAACAAAAAATTGCTGCACCAACATTTCATTAAGAAATGCAACATGAAAAGTGAAACTGAAAGCGATTCCTTATCTGTTAGTCCAGAACAGCCAAAATTAATAGATTACAAAACAAAGATTTAATAATGGCTTTGTATGAAAGACACTCCTATTATTGATTTGGATAATTATGTGTATTTTACTAACTCCGAAAATCTAAACTCTCTTCTTTCTTTTATTTTGAATCCATGTAAAATTGATTTAATTGCAGATTGGGTATTATCATTTGAATTAATCATAATAGGAATTGACATTCACAGATATAGAGGCTACATTCAAAAAGAAACACTTTAAGAATCTACCCATTAAATTAGATAAATTGTAAATCATTAGATCATATAAAACTGTCTTATTATTTCAAAACTAAAACAATATTCGTCAAATTGATAAACTATTAACCACCTTTGTTGAAATTTCATGTATAGAATTTATCTTATAATAGTTAGAAAAATATATGATTCCTTAATTAATGATGAAATTAACTTAAACATAAATCACCTAGTTAATTTCATTTAACAATTGATACTTTTAAATCCATAAAAGAGTGCCTATTAGATCTTAGAATACAACCTATTGTTTACATTCTCTCTTTATATTTATAATCATTAAATGACCACTTTCATAGGAGATATGTTGAGCTTATGGATAGATAAATTTAAATTTGGTTTTTATTTACAGGAACAAATATGGAAATATTTAGATTATACCAATTGGTTTAACTTCTTCTTTCAAATTTTATTGAAGCAACCTTAAAGAAATGAGTAATGCTATTAAGAATACAAGACATTAAAAATTGTAATATTTTCAATTATTAATTTAAGGATGGCATATTGGCCTTTGTTAAATTGTTAAAATAGCCTGAAAAAACCTAATAGACATAGAATGACTTCTAGAATTCTGTCACTAGTCGATAAGAACCACTCACTCCAATCGAATTTTCAGAAGAACAACAAATCTTAAACTCCTCATAGTGGATGTTGGACAATAACTCTACTGCAAATTAAATAATGGAAGATATGAGTCAGAAGGATATAGATAATCTCAAATACTTTAGCATCGAGAAAAACAAATCAATTATGACAGAATTATAAGAGTCTTCACCTTTAAGAATTAGAATTATGTAATCCTCTTATAATAAGGGGTTTTATGGCTAATCGTCAGACATAACTAACAAAGCCATCCTCTCTCCAAAGGGGAAAATGCATCATAGTTCAGTCAGTCTGCCTTCAATAGACAACAAAGCTCACAAGAGTGAAAGTGTCGATTCATAGAATTGCCAAAATTATGCATCAAGATAAAGGAATAAAACATACATCATATCACAAGATGGGTTTTCTACTACAAAGCTAATTTCGATTTATCCAAGGAGAAATATCGATTTATAGTTCACTCACTTTGAAACTGCTTAATCATTCTTTATTTACAATAAACATACTTTGAAAGGTTGTACTAGGGTCTTTAAAATTTTAAATGATTCTATATTCAACTCTCTTTATTATTAGGAAAATTTGGTAAAGGATTCTTTTTAGAAATAACAATTCTTAAATCTAGCTTAGAGAAATTTCATTAATGAACGAACAATCATAACGTTATTTCAAATTTATTTATATGGAATTTTTGATGAGGAAAGCAAGGTACTTCAGAAATCATCAATTGAATGTGGTCTTATAATAAATGAGATTTATAAGAATTCCTTAACATTTTAGGAAAAGTCATTAAATAATTTACTTAAAAGTTGTTTTGGTTAAGTTGCTGATTTTGTGAGTAAGAAATTAATAGAACTCAACAATTTTACACAAATACCTGACTTTAAATTCAAATAATTTTTATTATTTAGCACTTTAGTAAATGGGTTACAATATTTTGATCTTTATGATCCTAATAGGGATGAGAGGAACATATATAAGTACTTAAATGAAACAGTGATGCACATACTAATAATCTGGTTTTTTAATAGTCATTAAAATAACATTTTCTAATAGAACTTTGTTAGGTAATTATGTTTCTTAATAAAGATTAATCGCCATCCTTTTTTCTCGGGCCCCTCAATATTAATTATAGAACCTATTATTCCACGTTGGTTTATTGACATCACTATTTAATGGGTATAATACATATAATAGAAATGGATGCAAAAATATAGATTATGTTGAAAGTTTATACATGAACATTATGTATTTAATATACATAATAAATGCTAATGTTTATTCAAGATAACTAACATAGTTAATTTCTAATTTAGAATCATCAGCATCATGGAAAGGCATTTAATAAACTATTTGTGAGGTTTAAACCAATTACTTAAATCAATTGAATCAATTGATGAAATTGGACAGATCCTATTCAGTTAAAAAAATAAAATCAAGTTAGAAGATTCTACTGTAGCCAAATTCGAAAGATTCAATTAGACCTAGAAATGACTCTAAGAATGATAATTCTTAGTTAAATGAACTTTTAAAATAGAAGTATGAGTAAAGTATTATTTATTAGATCAGTAACTAAGGAATCATCACCTGTTAAACAGTAAATGTAGATCAAGAAATTAATTAGATATAGAACTAAGAATAGCATAAAAGCATGATTGATTTGAAATCAAATTTATTTTATTTTCGAAGTTCTCACTATGGATTTAAATCCAATTTTGTTATATGTATTGTGAACAATCAATCATATGATGTTCTCCATTTTATTTAATAATGGAAGTATTAATCCATTTTATTCTTACAATTTTGAATAGATATAATATTATTATATTTCTATTCCATTTTGATAATGATGTTCCTATTTAATTATAGTAGAATGTATAATTTAGATAAAACAATAATTAGAATTAATATTCTTATCTTTAATATCAAATTACTTAATAATATTACTCAAATGTGTCAATAATTTTGGATAGACAATTAGATGTACTTAATTAATATCTCGAAATTGAAATACAATCATTACTAAACTTACATTCCAAGCCAGGATTGCCTTTGGCTACAGCTCCGATCACAAAAACCAACTACAATAAAAAAAGGTATTTGTACATTATGCTTTTTTTGAATATATTCTTTTAGATCAACCAATTTAGCTTTGTGTGATGTGGCTACAATGTAAGCTTCATTGGAGAAATACTCTTGAACTGTATCATTGTGAATTTGGAGTAAGACTTGATCATCTGATTAAATTTTGGCTGTCTCCAATAATTTGGCCATCATTCCACTAAACCTTTTAAAGGTTCTGGGTATTTTAGTGATTGGATTGATTTCAATTAATCTATTGTCTTCTGTCCTTATCAATACTTTCATTAATCCTGCTTTATTAAGAGGACTATCAAGTAGTGTTAACAAACTTTGATGTACTATGTCTGGCCTTTTGCTTAATTCAATTATACCTGAAATCTTCTGGATTTCTTCCTAATCGCTTAGTTATAAAATGAGAGTGATCTTCGAAATTCAGCAACACTTTTGAAGATTTCAATTATCCCAATTGTAAGACTGCTCCATCAAGTATGAAGGTTACAATTTCTTTATTCAATTTTTCTTGAACTTCTAACTCTGGGATTGGGACTTCATTATTAAGAGATTTCTGGATGGTTTTCTTCAACTTCTTGATTTGCTTTTTGTTTGAGAGTTGTTTGAGCATAAATTAAAATTATATTAATTAAATAAAACTGAAAATACTTTGTCATTTATTATTAGCAGGATTGTTCACTGACTTTATTTTGTTCTACTTTTTTAGAAACTCCTTAATATCTGCTTTCAATTGATTGTATTCTTCTTTCATACTTAAAATCATTCCAGAAGTCTCTTCCCTTTTTTTATGAGAATTTTTTATTTTTTTTTTGAGTAAGATGAATTGCTACAATCAAATAATATCAAATACAGGACTCAACTCTGGATTTTTTTCGATTTCATTCCATAACTTTTCAATTTTTAATTGTTTCCTTTGTTAAGCCTATTCTTTGTAAGCTTTTGCATCGCTGCCAAATTATTGATTTTACATTATTAAAATTATATTTAATTACAATATGAAATTGAGTGCCTCTCTACCTTGTAACCACATAAATCTAAACAAAAATACATAATATGCAATTCTAAATATCAATTAATCTTAATAATATTGATTATTTTGACATTTGTGATGGTACTTAGTTATATTTTTAATTAAATGCAAAGTGAATAAAATAATATAAAATATCTACTCTATGAGTCACTATGATGACATTGACTTCGGCCAGAATTCAAACTCCAGTAACATGCATTTTGAATAGGAGGCAGACTCTGGAAAGAAGTAAGTTTTTGATTTAATAAAGAAAGCCCAAATAAAACACTAAGAATACTTATATAAAAAAGATATCATCGCTTATAAAAATGACCAATCAAGAAATCTTAGATGAAAAGTAACATTCAATTCCTATTAGCATCATTAGTTAGGAGAAAAAATAGACTGTCCATAAAGTCCAAAGCCAATAATTTCCTGGAAATAATTTAGGAGATAAGGAGGATAAACTAGCGAAAAATAGAGAGTCTGCTAGAAATAGCAGGAGAAGAAAGAAGATTTATCTAGAATTATTGGAAAACAAAGTTACAAAATTATCAGAACAATTAGATGTTTTTAAGAATGTTAATGAAAGAACTCAACAATTAGCAATCAATCTATAAAATAAAATAACACAAGTATTCATAATCCTAATTATTAAGAAAAGAGAGCAAGATTCAACAAAGATGATTTTATTTTCCAATCTCTAAAATTCCATCAATGGAAATGCTGGAGAAATGAATATCGATGCAATCATAGATTCCTTGAATGTATATTAAAATCTATAGACTTATAGAAAAAATTTGGTTCTGGATCACAAGAAAGACATTAGTTAATCGATCATTATGCAAGACAAATTTATGAAAATTGTTTGGCTCCATACATAAATTATATCATTGGAGTAGCAAAAACTGACTAAGACATCTTCTCTAATTAAGAGTATGTGAATCATTTATCCTTAGCCAAACTGATAATACAATCTTAAGAAATCTTAAACTTACAGATAAGCAAAAACAAATACTCTAAAAAAAATAATAAAAATTAGTAAGACATCAAAATGAATTAGCTAAGTACTTTGATCTCATTTATTATTAGCACATTATCCTCAATTTAGGAAGTAAAAAATCAAATTTAAGCCGAATTAAGTTCATTTGATCAAACTTTAGAATAATTAAGAAGAGAGTTGAAACCAAGTCAAGTGGCTAGATTCCTATTATCTATTGAAAAAAAGGATATGCAACATCATTTTAAAGAATAATTTGAAAAATGCTTCGGATCAGAAATTGATGAAGATGACTCTTTGGAATTATATTAATTTATGACTGAGCACAACCAATGTAATTCACTTGGAATAGATATCCAATAAACTTACGAGATATATAGAGCATCCAATGATTTTTTAAATGGAAAAGCTGAATCCGAAGATTAATAGCAACAATAATTGTAACAATAAACTAAAGTTGAATGAATTGATATAGATATGACCTATTAGATATATAATTGATTATTATATATATTTACATATATAATCATTATTAGCGATAGATAATTTATTTACTATTTCTTAAGCAAATATGAGTATTTATTCACATCAACAAGATATATGCTTATTAAGTAGATATTCATGCATTTTTATTAACGAAAATACATATATTCTTATATTAAAATCACAGAATCTGTATGATTTCAATAAAACGTTATAGGTTACATCATTTGAAAGTATTATAGATAATGGACTAGGATGCATAATAATAATTTTAGAATGAATCCATATGATATAATGTTATGATAAATTAATTTCATGTCATCTTTCTTATCTTTATGGCATTCGAGAAAATATTTTTAGATAGATCCTTTTTATATGTTGCAGATGAGATTCTAAGCTTAGAACTAAATGACTTTACTAAGGTTGGAGTCTAAATAACTTCGCTAGCTTTTTTTCTCATAGACATCTATTTAGTGTATTCTTCATTGACATATGGCACTTACTCTGGGTCAAGTTTACCAGATACTATATCAGAAATAACTCTAATTTGTTCCTCTTATTCAACAATTTACTAATCGAAATCTTTAAATTTCTAAAATGTTATTTTATAAATACTGGTTTTTCCACTGGTTTGTAATTGACGGAGGTAACAAAATTGAATTTAAGTTATTTTTTTCCATCCTTAATTTCATAAGCATCATCTTTTGAAACTTTTTCTATAATATCTACAATCTCTCCTTCCTCATTTACATACTAATTATATTTACAAGTAATGTAACCTTTAGCAATCATCTAAAGTACCTATAATCGTTTTTACATTTTCTTTAATTATTTGAGAAAGTATTCTTTTCTTAATTGATTATCTGTTTTGCTTCTGGGTTCAAGTTCAAAAAAATTCCCAATATTTTCTTATTATTTTTTCATCAGAAGTTCATATTCACTATTTAATTACTTAGAGTAATTTGAAGATGCTTCCATAAAGTTAAGATTTTAATATTTAACATGAGAAGCATAACTTTTGATTGCATTGTAGAACTATTCTTTGAGTTCTTGATTTCTTCTACTCGAATTCCCTCCCCAGTTGATGACTTCATCATTTACAACATTTTGGGATTTCACAAAATTATCCAATTGAACTTCCGGTTATTAATTGGTTGTTAATGCAAAATTAAAATGGGAAGATATTTTAGTGCTTTTAACATTTGGATTAATTATTTTCTACAAAACCCTTCTTTTGGGTTATTACTCAATATTTTTCGGATAATTATCTGCTAATTTAGTTTATGCATTTGTATGAGTTTTCTCAAAGGATAAATTTTTATTTGAATGTTAAGCTTTGCAAGTTTGATGTTAGAAGAATTGATTAAATTATTATGTATTTTGGATAATTAAAGAAGTCGGTAGAATTTTAGTTTTTTATTACTTAATTCCTTAATTTGATTTTAATTAATTGGTAATGTTTTTGGGATTAAATTCAGTCTCCTATAATTGAAAATTCAATTTGCAAGTACTAATCTCTTCTAAATAGGTTAAGTGAGCTTTTAGCTCTTCTGTATCAATTGGTTGTTTCGACAATTCAACAAATCTCTTCAATCTGAAAATCCATTTTTCTCCAATAAGGAGAAATAGTATATTCCTTGATTCTCTTTGCCAAACTTTCTTTTCGAGTTCTACGTTTGAAATTCTAAATAACATCGCTGAATCACAAAGACACTTAATATTAAAATGCCGTCTATCATAGTTTAAAAAGCTCTCTTCTCCAAAGACTTCTCCCTCAGCTAATCTAGTCAATTAATGTTCAGTTAAGTTCTCGTCTCTTTTTGTAAGTGAGAATTCTCCCTTAAAAACAAAATATGCCCAATCACATTCCTAATCGCCTTCCTAATAGATTGTTTCATTTTTCTAAGGCTTGATAACTTCTAATTTGTAGGCAAAATATTTAATTTCATTATCAGAGAACTGCTAAATGTAGGTGAGTTGTTTTAGAAATGCTATTTTTTCATTATTTTCACTCGATTTGATATTTGAGTTTAACTCGATGATAAATTTAAAATCTAGACAGGCTACATCTGTTTGTCTCAGTGTAACTGCAGTAGATTTCTAAACATCCTGTAGTCCAAATTCATTGAATGATTATCCAAATGTCATTTCAGAAACTTGAGAATATTGTTGAATATCTGAAATATCTGTGAAAGTCTTTGGTTTGGTGGAGTCAAGTTCTTAGGTTACTAATACTCTACCACTGAGAATGATGTAGGTGGTTCTGTTAACTGATATATTCTAATTAGGCCCGAATGTTTTTAAGTAAAGGTGTTTGCATAGTTGTTTCATAAAATCTGCATTGTATTTGGCTTTTATCTTCTCAAAATATTGAAAACAAGACATATATTCTATTATCTATGAAAAGTCTTATTCAGTTCTAGATAAATAATCTTTTTATAAAACTTATTTTATTTTTGAGATATCTTGAGGTTGATTACCAATCTTTGATAAAATATTAGAGGCTGAGATAATATGAACAGCATGTTAAAATAATTGAGATTTGCTTTTCATTTAGATAATTATTTATTTTAATGACGATATTATATATTAGAACCAGGAATCGCACCGTCAGGATGTTTATAAAAATTAGAACTATATTCAGGAATATGATAAGCCTTATCTCCTAAAAAATGCGTTCTAATTCCATTTCGATTGTCGTAAACTCGCACTTTTCTTTGCATTTCATCCTCCAATTTGTAACCTTAATAAGTTTCCTTATTGGCTTACTACAATACTATTGAAATAAATGACCTCAAAGGTTTTGATGCCATAATCTACATCTTCTAGATGGCCATCCTTTTCTTAGCGCAAATGTTTTCTTTCAAAGTAAATTTATCTGTCCAAGGGTTCAAATTGTTTTCGAAAATTGGGTTCTGAATAAAACTTCTCCAATCTCGACGACTCTTAATTATTGAGTGACTGTTTCACTGTAGGAGTATTCAAGATCTCGAATTAGTTTTATATGAGAGATTTCTAGACTTTCGGTTACACTTAGCCAAGGAAAGTATCACTTTCTCTTGGAGTGATAATTTCTAAGGCTTGCTATTCAAACTTCTTTCTTCCTTTGTCTCTCCATTTTTATGGTTTCAATCCATCCCAATCCATATAGGAATACATTATATTAATATTAATTATGTAAATTGAATCAGACAATTAAGTTACAAATTAGAGTTATTCTTTTTTTAGGTAGGAGAATACAATTTTGGATGATAAAAAGTTTATGGAAATTTTGTTGAAATGGGGTCTATAACATAGCTTCAAAGTAAGTACATTTTTATTTGATATCAAATTTGATCATCTAAATCCAAATCAATTTTTATTGGATTTATTCAATTCTAAGGACGTAAGAGGTTCATTGCATTATGTTTCATTTAAATAGAATGTGTTGCTATCATAGATTAAATTTTAACTTTTGACATGCAAATCCATAAAATTGGACTTGTTCGATAAATTAACAGAGGATAAGATTGTTGTCAAGGGTCACATCAAGTAGTGTTTCGAGGAATAATTTGAAAATATACAGATAGCCGATGAATTACGTAAAGCACTTGTTTTGGAAGATTCGGAATAATATTGTGTATTCAATGAAGCTGACAGATAAGAATTATTATTCAAACTATTTCAAATTCTGGTTCTGGGAGGATAGCTTTGCTAATATGAGGATGAAATCCAAGCCTATTTAGATTGGACAAAGTATTTATACAAAAACACAGTCAAGTATCAAGTGAATTAATATAAAGTGCTCGAAAATATGCCGATAAGGATGAGATTTACATAGATTCCTATGCTTATGACATTAGGAAATTAGAGAACTCTTACAGTTCAGATCATCCATAAAATGTAATGTATGTCGTTGTGAATCCATCCTTGAGAATTGTTAATATCATAGAAAATTAATGGTTAAAAGTATGGTGATTCTATTGAATTAAATTGTGATTAATCATGTTGAATATTTATAAATAAATATTATAATGAATCGAAATACGACATAAGGAAAAAGCTTTAACATAAAACCATTGGTTTTTAAAGTTAAAGGCACCAATTATGCAAGTTAAAAAACATCATTTACAAGTTTATCTCCAACTTCTAAAATCGGATCTCCAAGGTTTGCTGATAACTTAAGGAAGCCCCTCAATCCTATCTTAAGTCCCAAAATAAATAATAAACCTTATGATAATACTCACATCTTCAGATCCACAAGATTTCACTCAGAATTCAAAAAGCCAACTCTTGAGAAATAAACTGAAAATGTTACTTTAAAGTTTTCAGTCATGAAGGAACTTCATTTATAGAAATAACATACTCATCATAGTGTTCATTGTTCCTAATAAGTAGTTAAAAAAGATAATATCAATTTATTCGTTTTATGTGAGGGTCATGGCAAGTTTGGAAAGGAATGTTCCCAATATGTTAATCAAAAGATGATAGAGAAACTCACTAATAACAATTTAAATAATGTAGTTTAGAAAAAAATTGATTAAATAAATCTTTTATTTGAAGACCTCTTTTCTGAAATCAATAAGGAAATGGTAATTAATTTATATCTATTAATAGCAATAATGCCAGGATATTGACTCCTCATAGAGTGGATCCTAAGCACTTTGCATTTTGATATCTGAAATGAAATTGATTTGTTCAAATTTGGGAGAAAGCAAAGTAATGTATTTCTTTTTACAAAAAAATAACTTAGTTTTCAAATAATTAAATACTGTTCACTCTATCGAAAAAATGTCTGAACAACAAAGAATACTGAATCATGGCGGGGAAATAGAACAAGAATACATTAATTATGTAAAGTCTGGTCCCTTGAAGATATGGCTGAAACAAAATAAATCTTAGGGGATCCAATTAACCAGATGCATAGGATATAATCATTGGCAATAAATTGGAATTACTTGTCAACCAGACACTTCAGAATAGGTTCTTACTTAATAAGGATATATAATAATTGGTAATAGTCAATTATTCGACTTAATTGATACTATTGATATATCAAAGGTCTTAGAAAAACATATGGTTCCACAATCTTAACAAGAAGTCAGCAATGTATGTGAATAACTATTACTTTTGGCAAAAAGTAGAATTTCTAGTAATTTGCATATAGAATAAATTCTGATGATCATTTTATTCATTGGAATTTGATTGTGTATATAAATATATAATAAATCATCTTACATCCTAAAGTGATTTTTTTCTTGGTTCCCTTAACAAATGAAACTCCTAAATTGTGCTGATTAAATTTCATATTAAATATTTTATATTTCTTAAATGACTTAATTCTTTCTTAATTTTATGATGATGAAGATTTGAATTCCGTAATTTGCATTATTGTTTTGATGAAAAGTAATTAAAATAGCAATTTGGCTGAGACTAACAATTTGAATGAGGACAACTAACAAATGAAGTCTCTAGTCAATCAAATCATGCAGTAAAATAGTAAAATACACAAATAAAAATCCAATATCAAAAGAGTTAAATGGAATTAAGAAAGCACAGAATTATTCAATAAATTATATCATATGTTTTTGGGAGACCTCAACATGATACACTCATATTTTTTATAACACACTGACTATAAATTTACCAAAAAATAAATCAAAGTATCAATTATGTATATATTCAAAGAAACAATTCACCTAGCAGGTTCATACCCTTGCTAAATCAAATAGTAAATCAATGGATGAAGAGTTATATGCTAAGATATTTGATTCCTAGCAGCAGTGTCTTTCAAACAGTAACTTTTGCGAAGATCCAGAATAAAGTGCAATAAGTGATATAAAGAGTTTTCAATCAAGCAGTTTTTGAGTTGACGATTTATATCATTATTTATTCTCTTTATTCAAACAAAATACAAAATATCATTCTCCATTTAAGGGAATCTTATAAATTGCCATTGCAACAACTCCCAAATCAACTCCCATATGAAATAATGAAGTTGTTAACAATCCAAATTTGTCCCTTGTAATAAAAAACATTCTTCCTCCTATTGCTATCATTATGAATCCAATTAAGGAAATGATGATTAATCTAAGATATAAATCAATGACTTTAAAAAACATACTTGGTGAGAAAATAAATAACAAAAAAATGATACAAGGCATAATGCAAAGCCAAATACCACTTTAGTTTTTCATTATATTTTATTTCGTCATGCATAGTATATTAATCTGGCAAATAAACCCTCCAGAAAAATTCCTCCAAAAATGGATTGGTTATAGATAATAATATCAATGCTAAAATTAAAGATAATTTGCTTCCTTTTAGTGTTTTAATTGCTTCATAATCCAAAATATCATAATATTGAAACACGAAATACCCAAAGATTACAGTTGCCAAAAAGGAACCAATTAAAAATAATAAACCGTAACCAATTTCACTAATATACAAATCGGTTTTTATTAGTTTTGAAAAATGCTTCTTCTAAATTTATAAACTAATCAACGGAATGGCTAATAAAGTTATAATTTAAAATCCTAATTAACACCCCAAGGGCATTTTCAATACCCACAAGAACAACAAAACCCAAATAACGGGAGATATCATTAATAGCTCTAAGAGTGAAAGTTTCACAAATGTCAACTTTGGTTTTTAGTCCGAAAGCTGTACTGTTTCGTCATTTTATTCTTCATCATAAACTTTTGAATCCATTTATAAAATAATTATATAAACAAATTGATGTAATTTATTATTCAAGAACATCTTTGAGAAATAAATCAGTATCCCTGCCATAAGAACATGATTCTATTTTAAGAACTCTTGATAAAAGATCAAAAATTACAACTAAAGTTTTCATTTGAGATAAAATTAATAGAAATGGAATAAAATTATTGAACTATAATAGAATAGCTTCAAATAAATTTAATGTGTAAAAAATTGATTGATTATTATTAATGAACTTATTGTTATACTTTCTAGTTTTATTGTATTATCTAATTGATAGCAATAAAGAAATGATATGTCAATCATTTTTTGCAAATAATAATAATTATAAACTTAATAATTGTTGAGACTATAATTTTTAGATTGTAGATCTATTAAAAAAGATAATAAAGAATCAATTCAAAAATGATCTTTTTTTTAAACTAATTCATAATTAATTGAATATATAATTATTGATGAATATGTATATTTAAAGTTACGTGAAATAAATTAGTTAAAAGCGAAGGATATTTCTAATTATGAATTTAGGATGCTATCCTAGTAAGGTAGTTAAATGTTGAGCTTAATTAGTAGTTGATGGATAAATGTCAAAATAAATTTGAATTTAATTAATGATTGATGAAGTAACTTTTATTTAGTATAATGGACGATTAATAGTTTATCTAGAAAATACTTAATTGGATTTGTTGATAGAATATTAATACTCAAAGTTTGTAATGAACAGCTTAGTTATAATTTAGGGGGATAGGGTTTCTTTTCTTTTGAAACATCCCTCCATAGTCTTTCGATAGTTCTGATTTCTTGACGTACCTTTGCAGATATGATATATCAGATAAGGGTAAAATCAAATAGGAGTATGAACCTTAACTTAACATACCTATAACTTCAGAAGAAATTTTTTCCAAACTTATGTTTATTAAAATGAGTTTTCTTACATTTAAAAAATAATGTTTGTATGTTAAGTTGGCAATAAAATTGAGAAAAATAGGGTTGGCTGATTCTTACTATAAGTCATAAACAATAACAATATGATTATTTAACTTATTATTTGTTGCAATTTCATAAAACAAATACTCTAGGAAATATAAGAAATATTATTAAACATACTCTGTGTTGATTTTATCAAGTTTTACACACAGAACTAATCCTTTTTTAAAGTCAATCCCAATTATTTATATTGCTTGTCTCAAAGGTTCATACTCTATTGGTCTTATACTTTATCTGAATTCCTAATTTTCTCTAATTAACAAATTGATTTTCTCAAAATTGTAGTGTTGACTAACTAATAGATATCTACATAGGCTCAAATCCAAACAATTGTTATGCTTAGATAATTCAATAATTTATGCAGTGAGAGTAGCAGAAAAAGGATCAAAATTGTTATCATACATTTTAGAATAGTATTGAACTACTTATATTGAGATTGAATGAAGAAAAGAATTTCTTGTTTTTTCTGATGCATGCTATCTCTAAAATTAAGAAGGTCTGTCTTTGTTGTCTGAAATTTTGATTGAATTTTCTCTTGATAAACAGGTGTTTTCAAAGTTACCCATTAATATATATATTAATTAAACTAAAGTATAAAGTTAGAAAAATTTGCTTGGTCTTTTTATTTCGGTGTTATTTGTTGGACATTTATTATAATTTTTTTATTTAATATGTCTAATAAGGGAGAATCTTTAAAATTCGGATAGGTGATCTCAATAAGTCCATTAGCCAATTAATCTCTTTTTGTCTATAGCGACGGATTAGTTAAAACGGATGCCAAGGTAATTGTAGAGAAATAAGATTAGTTAGTCGAAATATCGCCTGACATAATGGCTGCAGGTTCACTCTATTACTACAGTTTGTATAGAATTTACCCTGATTTCATTACAACCAAATTGCAAATGGCTATTAATTTTAAAGAAGAAACCATGCAGGATGATAATTCAAAAAAAATGTAGAAACTCAAAGATCTTCAAACCAAAGTACAAATCTGAACTTAACAATAGATTATTGCAGATTATAAATCGAACATAGATGTTTCAACCAAATATAAAGATAAGCCATTATCCTTCAATAATTTAATTTAGTTTATGCATGTAGCAACAAATCGATTTTTGTCTTTATCTAGTAAGGAAGCAAAAGACGAAAAAGAAAACTTTCGCTTGGAACTAGTAGAATATCCTTCCTCAAAAACGGTATTTCAATTATAACCTGCCTTCGTACATTAAAAGGAATCGAATTCAGAAGTTTATGCAGGCGATAGTGTATATATCATGTGTGATCACATTTATTTGGGAATCAAGCCTAAATTAAGGGCCACTCTTAAGTACGGTGTTATGGATACATATGAGTATCTCTAGGATAGATCTATCTATGCAGTTCCCAATTTAAAATTGCTCAAGAAAATGACAGACCAACTAGCACAATAATAAGATGTCTTAGAAATCACTCCAACTATACAGAAATTCTAGAAAGTAGCCAGCTTAGCAAAAGGGCAAAGCATTCGAAGATAAACAACATGTAAATTAGAGTGCTAATTTATATAGTAAAATAAGAGGAAGAAGTAAAACCTGTAGGGTAAACGAGTGAAGTCAATATTTCATTGGAGCATCAGAGTCCTTGGGTATTGACGGTGTTCTGTAATTAAAATGACAATGAACAAATTATAAGCTTTAATGATGTTATATGGATTCATCATATTGAAGAAAATTCACTTTTAACTTTGGGGAGAAATCAAGATAATGAACTAATAATTACATTTTAGAAATAGTCAAATGAATAATAGAGCGAGTTTAATGGAGACTCTAATGGAATGTTTCAAATTGAAAACGAAGATCTAAACAAAGGAGGATTAGTTGAATGGGGTTAAAGCCTAAGGTTGAGACATTTCATTCTTGGCAAATATTTAGCAATAAATTATGAACCAATAAAATCAGGTTAATTGTTGTTATACTTATCTGATTAACCCACACCCAATACTCTATTCTAGTTTTTAGCAGTACCTACTATGGGATCCAATGCAGTCAGCTAGAAATATGTCACTAAAGATGCCTTTATGAAAATGAAGGCAGTGGGAAAATCCTCATAATGGGTACATCTAGAACAAAAAAAAATTGTAATTCTTATCATATATGTATTATTAGTTACAAGCAAATAGCAAATACAAGGACACTGTCGTTGAAGAAGATAAATCAGTTATTGTTATTAGATTAACTGATAATACTGAAGATGATGACGTATTGAAATTGTACAAGGCAAATTATAGTGATGTACTAGAAACAAACTTTCTAATTACAGGTTTCCCAGTTCTTAGAAGAGGTTTAACTAAACTCAAATCCAATAAGGATATGACCAAGGAGGCTCAGAAATAACAAATGATCAAAACTTATAAGAAATTAACCACTACAATTGAAAAGTTAGAAAAATTTTGTAAAAATTCTTTAATCAACACTTAACTTGATATAAAAAACACAAAAGTGGCTATATTATAGAGATAGAAAATACTTAGAGAATAATACTTTATTGATCTCCTCATAGAAATTATGAAATAAATCACAAACGAAGATGAATTAAGATAATATAGTGAGTATTAGTTAGCCCAACATAAGGCAGCTTTAGAAAAGCAGACGAAGACTACAATTGCTGTTTCTTAAAGATCTCATATCGGTTCAGATATCAGTCCTTTAAGAACAAAAGATTCGCAAATAAATTCTTTAAGTATTGTATGATTCTATTATTTTCAGATTAAATTGCAGTTGGGAGATCAGCAGCTAGTTAGTTAGTTTCATCTCATCAAATCTAATCTTAACAAAGAACTTAAGCAAGAAAAAAAAAAATGGAAATGGCATTTTTATCTGAAAAAATGAGTGTGTTAAAAGTTATATATCGATTACTTAGAAGCATTTGTTAGGACAATCCAGAGAACTAATTTTATATTTACAAATTGTTTCCAAACTTTCTTTATTAAATCAAGTATTTTAAGGAAGCAACTGATTGTATCATAACAGTTCTTAGTGGTAATGAACAAATTTTGATTAATTTGTGTGATCACATTAAATTAAATGAGAAATTAAAAGCTCGATAATAGGTGGATAGTGATGAGTCCTAATTATCAGATGAAATGGATATTCAATTTAATTCATCTGCTGATGAAAAGAAAAATATATTATTATATTATAAAAATTTGACAGAAGATAGTTAAGGATAAAGGAACATTCAATACTTATAATTTTTCAGATGCATATGCAGATTAAATGACTAAAGTATCTCTGTAAATTAAGAAATGATATTCAAATTTATCAAACAAAATGAAAATTTTAAAAGTTCTTTATTTATGCCAATCATCATGTAATTATCGTTTATATTCTTAGTGAATCTACAAAAATGAAAATATGTGTTGATCAAACATAAATTGCATACATTACCAGTATCAAAGAGTAAATATTAATACATTATCATAGTCCTTTAATTTAAAATTATTTAATAGAATAATTATTTTTATATGCAGATTTGGCATATTAGCGAAACTTTTTGTGGAAATCTTATTTGGAACGTATCTTTCCGACCCAATTTGTATTTAATTAAATTTTTGACGAAGACAAAGATTAAGGCAAGTAAAGTTTAGGAAATTCTGATTAAGTTTTTGACAAATCAATGTAAATCAATTATAAGTCAGCATTCTGCAACATGGCAATCACAAGTAATAAATCACTAAATTCTAGTATTTGTCGATCATGAGCCCTTCAACAAAGCAATCGTTCCAAACTTATGCAGATTATATACAGAAACCAAACCAATTTCAAAAAGTGTTTAATCAACTAATAAACTGACCAAATTAGCATCCACATATACTCCTCTAGTTGACAAGACCTTTAAATTTTTAAATGAACTTTATGATTAAATAAATCAAGATCTAGATTACAAAAAGGAGCAAGCAAGATCAAAAGGCTAATTAATAAACCAAGACCCTGACGATAAAAAGAGGTAAGCAAGAACCAAAGATTAATAAAATGATCAAGACTCCTTTATCAATCCATTAGTACTTGATATCACTAAATTAATTTCCATAATGATTAGATTTGACATGCTGAAAATAATGAAAAAAGAAGAATTATATGTTAATATTGTACCTAAACTCATTTCCCTTTTAGAATATGACAAAAATAATCTATTATATTCATATATACTTAAATCAGTTAGAGAATCAAAAATAAAAAAAGCAACAGAAGGAATCAATTTAAATGTTATCGGAAAAGTAACTGCACAATCTTAATTTACAAAACTTGCTAAAGATTTAGCATTATCTATACTGGGAATTCCACCAAAATAATAAGGTTCATTAGAGGATGAGTTTTCAGATTATGATACAACTGTTATTGCCAGAAATCCAATAGTTTCTAGTCTTATCTCCATTATCACTTATATGGACACTCTTGGAGTCTAAGAGACAAACTCTAAAAATTAGAATTAACAACAAATACAAAATAACTTCGAAATTGAAATTTAAAAAGAAGTATGTGGAATTCTTTTATACTTTTAAGATCAAAGATAAGATTTTTATGTCTCAAACTTTATTTAGTTTTATAAGAACTTCACAAATAAGTTCCAATAATTTAGTTGGAATAATACATTATTAAAAGATAAGCTTCTAAAAGACTTAGAGTCTGAATTGGTGCAAGCTTTACCACCATTTTTAAAGACTGGAATTGAAGCCATAGATAAACAAGCTTAAACCAGCATAGAGGCTATATATAAATCGAATGATATGAACGAATTAATTGGAGTTGGAAATCTACTGGCACAATAAAAAAAATTTTAGATCTAAAATCCATAATTAACTGAGACTATGGATCTGGATAAATTGACTTGTGGAGAATCATAAGCGGAACTCTAATTATTGCCTACCTTAATTGTAACATTTTTTGTTACAAATGACTTTGGATTGTAAAATGAACTTATTGAATTAATGAGAAGGTCCTTCTCCTAAGTCTCTGAAATGATGTATCACTTAAATAGAATTGAATTACTATTTGATAAGGTAGAGATTGGTTGTTATCAGTTTCTAGAAGTTTCAATATAAGAATTAAAAGTAATTACTGAATGTTCTGAAGTTTGGTTGGTTGATTTCTTAGCCTCTCCATAAGGAGAAGTCAAAGAAATCTAAAAGATCCTAAAGATATTGGCAGATTTGCAATTATTATTGAAATAAGGCACATCTATTGATCATAAAAGTAGAGTTATTAATGGAACTGATTAAATATCAGTATCTAGACAAAAAATATTTAACTTCTTGAATGCCTATGAACCTTTATTGAATTTTATAAGAGATACTCAATAACAATTAGTAAAGGTTTTGGATGATCCATTTTATTCAATGGAGACTAAGAGCTATGTTATCCAACTACTGAAGGCATTATTTGCTTTACTAACAGATTTTTGTGATAAAAATGATGAAAATTAAAAAATTATGCATAAAAATGCAAGTTTATTTATGGATGAATTATAACACGACTATGGATAGATGAATTTGTTAAGTGCAATTTATAGAGATAATAAATAATTATGTTAAAAAATTGATGAAATTTTATTAAAGAAAATAAAATCATTTATCTATGCATATGGAAGGTAAGCAAGATTTCTTCACCTATATAAAAATATATAAACCTATAAGAACAACCCAATTATTGAAGTATAAACTAAAGTACTTCAATTGTTTATTCCATAACACATCAGCACAGAGGATTATACAGATATCAACGAATTCTATCTTTATGGTGAATTCAAAGCAATTGAAGGTAGAAAAGTACTTGAATTTACATTTGACAGATCCCAAGAAACTAAATTGAGTGATCAACCATTTCTTTATCATAGTGAAATACTTTAGGTTTTATTAGCTACTATTATTGGTGAAGAGAGCTTTAAAATAAACTCTCCTAAATTAAAAAAATTATTTAAATTACATTATTTGCTTGAATTATTATTACAGCCAGATGATTTTTTATCAGATGAAGCAAACATTTTGGAAGGGTTGATTGATGTTAATCTGGATATGGTTAATGGTATAAAACACATAAAGCCACAAATTATTGAAATGGCAAATCTATTATATGTTAATAATAAGGTCACAGACTTATATTTATTCATCAAAGAATAACATAAATTTACAGAATTTTTTGCTTAAGAAAAAAGCAGATTAGTTAAAATACAATCATTGCAAGGGGATTTTGATTAATACTTGTAATACTTTTTTGATTATGTGATTGTTTTGATGAAATATTATTCAAAAAAAGTCATTACAAAAGATTCAGGTTCAGAATATAGAGAAAGATCAGATTATATGGAATTAAAAGATATAATGAACATCATTTTAGGAATGTGCAATACATTGATTTAACATAAGTTAAAAGTGAATTAATATAATAATTTAGTAGAATTTGTTCATTCACTTGATGAATAGACTTTAACTGATAATGCAGGATAAATATCTTAGTCACTCTAACAACAAGAATTTGCGAAACCTTAAGTAGAGGAAGAAAATTAAACTATCTTTACTTAAAAAAAAAAGGATTCACCATTAATTCACAATGATAAGGACGAAAAATTCAAACGGACTAATAATAAAACTGATATTGATTAACTAAATTAAGAAATTGTAGATTGGAATACAAAAAAAGCTTGGGAAAGATTCTTAGAAGAATGTTAATAACTTTAATCGACCAAAAAAACATAATCTATTGAAATGAGAATCCTAAGTCAAACATTTTAAGAGGTGCATAAATTTATACCTGATGCTATGATCAAAGAATTAGGTTTGTAAAACTTTTGCTTTAAGGATTTTCTAAAAAAATTAATTCGATTTATCGAAGTAGGTATAATTAATAAAGCAAATAAATCGAATTTAATATATACATTATAACTTTTAGAAGATATTCTAGATTCAAAAGAGGATTTAGAAAAAATTCAAAATGAATTTGACTCCTGCTAAGCCACAAGAATGTTTTTAAATTTATTAGCTGACTTTTAGGTTTATCCTTTTGATGATGATCTATTAATATAATTATTTAAATTTGCTTTAAAGCTAAGTAAAAATGGTAATCAAAGAATACAAACTACTGTATTTAATTATTTTAGTAATTTTGAAAAATCTGAGATGATCTTTTTAAAAATGAATCAAATTATTTATGAAGTAATTAATGAAAATAAAAAAACATAATAAGTATTGATGTAATAAAAAAGCTAAAAAGATAAGGATTAACATTAAAAATAACTTTATTTGTCTAGTATTTAAGAGTAATAAAATGAAGATGAATCTACTTCAAAAGAGGCTTAAGAAGCTAGAAGAAGTAAAATGAGTATATTAATCTATTTGCTGAAATACTTTTAATTAATATGCGAAGGTCACAATTTATAAATTTAAAACTATCTCAGATAGCAATACAATAGTAGAAACAATTATAATATTGTCCAAGCTATGGTAGAATTATTATGTGCTTTTGAAAATGATTTGTAAAGAGATTCATTTGAAGTGATTATGAACACATTAGAAACATTGACAGAACTTGTCTAAGGTCCTTGTTCACAAAATCAATAGGATATCATTGATTCGTTGTTTTTAGATGTTGCATCTAATTATTTAAATATGCATATTGAATCGAAGAAAAAAAAAGATTAGGATGGGGTATAAGAAAAAGAAGAACATTCTATTAGAGAAAGATCAAATTCATTGCAGTCTAAAAGTACTGCAAAAGCAGGTGCTAAAGTTAAAACGATTTAAATTGATAGATGGATGTTAGAAAGATTAAAATATAAGTGCATGGTTTTAGTAAGTTCTTTGTTGGAGTTAAACTCAGATACTAATGCTATTAAACGAATTTTAAGATCCTTGCCAATTAATGTGCTCAAAAAGAATTTAATTATAATTTATAAAAAGCATTAAAAAATGTACAAAAAATTAGGATACAATAAGGAATCATTAGGACATGTAATTGTTTATATTCAAATTTTAGCTTGAAGAGAATCCTCATGATTCAACAAAGCCTCCTGAATATCATGAACTTATTTTAGAAACTGGATTTTTAATTTACTTTTTAATAAATCATTATGCAAATTTGGATACAAAAGAAATCGATCCAGCAACTAGAGATGAACTTGAGGAAATAAAAGAAAGTTAAAAAAATTCTGACAAAGAAGATCCTTGGGCTTAGTTATAAAATTCCCTTATTGGTTAATTGGCTAGCTTAGTGTTTTCTTTGGTTGGAGGTATTTTAGAAATGATAAATGAATGGAGAGAATATGCTTAATAATAATTAATGAAATAATTTAAGGGTAAGGAAAGTGCTGAGGAGGAAGAAAAACGAAAGGCAGCAAAGAAATTAGCAGCTCAATAACTGTTTAATGATAGTATTACTTTTTTTTAAAAAAATTCTGCTACTGTTGAAGTTATTAGGGAGTAGTAAATAGAAAAAATTATTTTCTATAAATTATCTTTTTGTAACTACTTGCCCTAAGAAACTAAAACTGAATTTCATGAAACTGTAGATAGAGATTCTACTAATTCTAAAGTGAGTGCTTTAGTTGAAAATATGCCAAATTTTATGGATGTTGCTAAACATGAAGAAGAACTTACACAATTTTTTAATTAGAATAAGTTTGTTGCTTTATTTGCAAAATATGTTATTTTGTGGAAAGATTTATGCTTTTTATTGACTCTAGTTTTAAACGTATTTATCGTCCTTTCTTACTATGAAGGAGATTCTGATGATCCAGATTAAAGATTTTACGATAGATTAAACTCACCAAAATTTTTAAAAATGTTATCTGTTGAGGAGACAATGTCAATTTTTCGATATTGTGGAATTGGAATGATTGTTTGTTCGTGCTTTGTTGTTTCGTTTTTTATTCTTAAGAAGGGACCACTATATGTTAAGGAAGCATGGAATCAAAGTAAGGATTTAATTAAAGAGGATCAAATTTGGATTATTAGGTTCTTTTTAAAGTTGTACATGGTTGGTTTTTGTTTGGTTAAGGTTTTATTGAACATAGATATGATCTATTATTTAGCCTATGGCGTTTTGGCTTTCATTGCAACTTTGGTTCATCCGTTCTTTTTTGCTTTTCATTTAAGTGAAGTGGTCTTAAGATACCCAACACTTAGAAATATTATAAAATCATTTTGGGAACCTAAAGTCGCTTTAGGTTTGACATTCATTTTAGTTTTGTTAATGAATTACTACTTCACTCTGATGGCGTACTTATTGTTTTATGATATATACACAAATGGTATGATAATCATTATATTTAGGAAAATGTGATTCATTATTAGTGTGTTTCCTTTCAACGTTTGACTATGCATTTAAAAATAATGGAGGAATAGGAGGTTGGTTTGATGGAAATTTTCCATAAGACCCAGCAAATTATAGTTATGGTAGATTTTTCTTTGATTAATTGAATAATATCCTTATTCAGATGATTAGTATTTAAATATTCTCTGGTATTATTATTGATACATTTGGTGAATTAAGAGAACAGTAATTAGCTAAAGAAGATGATAAAGAAAATATTTGCTTTATTTGTGGTCTTGACAGAGAAATATTTGATATGAAATCTGATGATGGATTTAATAAACATATCAAATAAAGCCATTATATGTGGAATTATGTCTTTTATATGGCTTACATGGATAACAAAAATAAAAGCGAATATAATGGAATAGAAACCTATATAGCAAATAAAAGAAAAAATTAAGATAATTCTTGGTTCCCAATTGGATAGTCATTAGAACTTCAAGAAGAATTAGAAGATTAATAAATGATTGAGGAAAGAAAAATATAATCTTTATAATTAAGGGTAAAAATCTATAATATTTTAGATTGATGGAATCAAATAATAGAGCGAAAAAGTACTCTAGATCTTAAACGATATCTAAGAATAAGTTGGTTAATGAATTAGTATTAATTATAATATTTGATATTAAAGAGGCTAAACAAATTTTCTTATTAATAAATAAATATGATGGAAATTTAATAAAATACAAGCTTATCACTTGGCTTTTTGAAGCTATCTATATCTAATTTAAAGTTTCATTTTTTCATCTTCAAGAGCTAATCTTTAACCCAACTTTAAAAGGGATTATGTGACCTTATCAGATCTCAGTTGTTTTTCAGAATTCCTCGATCTACAATGCTCAACCATAGAAGAATTCTCAAATATCAATTAAGCAGGTTATGATTCAGATTTTTCTAACAAATGTTCTTCTGGGTGTAGCATCTCCTTTGTAAGACCTATTTATGAAGAATTACCCTTTTGAGTTTTGTGCAAATTTAAATTATTTTAGGGCGAGTTTGTGCTTCTGAAAGAGGAATTGTAATCAAATTTATCAGAATGTACAGATTTATGTAGAGATCCTACTAAAGAGGCAGATCTATTTTCATAAATATCTTGTTATTAACTCACAACTTGAGATTCTTTAACACCTTCTTTCAATTTTTGTTGTGACGCTTTACTTTAATTTAATTTTCTATCTTAGTAAAATATAAATACGGCTAACTGTACTAACTCTGATTATGCAAGATTTAAGATCCTTTTTAGGTCTTGGAATCTTGTCCTGGAACTTTCAAAGCTACATTTTAATGAGAAACACTTAAATTTGGAACTTCAAACTAGGCATTCCATAATTCTTATTTCGGAATTTTTTCAAACAAATTTAAAATTTTTTCTTTTTCTACTCCTTTTCTGTATACATTTGATAATGATGGAAATAAATTTACTAAACTATCAAAAATCTTAAAGATCTGCACAGTTGTTAATATTTGATCTGAAGAATTTTGTTGTTGTTCTTGTGTAATAACCTAAGCAGAAACCAAAATTTCATCTAGAAAATAATCATTGTAAAATACTTCTGAAACATTTGATAATAACTTTTTAGTCACTCCACTTTCTCTTTTAATCATCCATAACTTAGACAGGAGATAATTTTGCAATTTTTTCTCCTCTCCAGACATCATACAATCTTACTTCTGACTCAGCATCTTATACAACTGCTATTCCTGAACTGCTTACGGCCAATGACATTATTCTCCATAATCCTTGCTTTTATTCATCATAGTTTATTTTGGTTCCTTTGCGGAATTAATTTGTTCTTTTGCACAACGTAGTCCCTTCAACCGTATTATAAATATGGATGCTCCCATCATAAGAGCAACTAACTATTCTTTCATTCTCACAAAATTCTATATGGCTTACAATAATTTAATGTTTATCAAGATAAAATCTTTCCTATTAGAAAATCAAATCATATATTAAAATTGACCCTTATTATAATCCTAAGCCTAATAACGAAAAATTTTTAGAGACAGCTAAACAAGAAAGTGGGTAAATCAATGGAATTTCAATTAATCGGGTTTCGTTTTTTTTATTAAGTATTGGTAATTGAAATTTCATTTCTTATTCTTAAGTAAACTATGCGATTAGATACTATGGTAAGTTATTTTTCTTCGGTTAGCTAAAGTAATGAAGCTCTAATTTTGTTGTGTTTGACCATCCTACAACTATACCAACAACTACTTCAAATTATTTAAACTATGAAATATAACAATGATTACCTTATCAAAGACCTTTTACCCGTTTTAAACGTTAACTGTCTCATGAATAAAAGCAAAATATGGCTTAAATTTTTAAATGGGATATTCCTCACTTATATCATAACCATCCTTAGTCTGATGCTTAATTATTAGTTGGTTATTATTTTCTTCTAAACCTGATTCTTCTTTTACTTATTGAATTACTTCCTACTTCTTTTATGGTTAAGCATTAGGCTATTATTTTTTTTTATCTTCTTTCACTTCAACTTCTTTTGGAAGATTTTATTCTTTAAATGAATTAATGATTTCATTGAATTTTTATTCTTTCTTTAATCCTTAAAATTTAATCTGATAAAATATCTCATTGATTTCAGTTACTGCAACATCATTTTATGGATTCGATGGGATTTATTGTTTCAATTATTCTTTCGTAGCCTGTTATTTTTAATTTTACAGAGGAGGCAATAGAGTATTTTAATTCTATAATAATGTTGCCTATATTGGCTGTTATGATTCCACTTTTAATTCAGGTATTTTATAAATAACCACATTACCATTATATTGAGTTATTAATATATATTGTGAATACTTGCTGATTTCGATGTCCATAGGAAGCTCACCAATACCAGTTGTATTTTTAGTGACTTATATAAAATGGATTTAGCTGATTTTGTTCTCTCCTGGTTTATATTTGAATATTTGTACTACTGGATCTAAGTGACTTATTACCCCAATTCTAAAAATGGTGGAAACTGTTACATGCAAATATTTTTTTATTCATCATTTGCTCCATCTCTAATTCCTAAGCAAACTTTATTTATTCTTTTTGGGCTAACCTCTTTTTTACAAATTTTCGTTTTCTTGCTCATATCTAATATAAAAATGTTTCCTTGTAAATCTCCTGCTGCAATTTGTAAATTCGAGCTATTTGAGCTTATAGTTGTAATATTCGAAATATCGAAAATACCCTAAGGAGGCAATGTTCTCAAGGGACCTTCATAATTTGGATCTGACCTGTATTTTTCGATTAAGAACACTTTCGAATATACTTCCAAGAGAATATCCTTTTAGATGATTTTATTTATGAATCTTGAAGCTAAATGTTATCATTACCTAAAGGGTTCAGGTAATTTATCAAGAAAATTGTTTGGATTGCAAAAATCCCAATCATTCAACTAATCGTTCATAATAATTTATTATAATATATTTTATTCATCAATAATTTTAATTCAAACTACTAGCCTGCCAACTCGTACGTTGCCTAATTATAATGTTGAATTACTTAATACAAAGTAGCATAGTCCAAGAGTTGCCTTTTAAATTTTTTTGAAATGAATTAATAACAATCTGAACAAGCCTTATCCTTAGCAACTATTTCAATGATTTACTGAGATAGATCATCGAAATCCATTATTTCGTCCAAAGGTTTTTGCTAAATTTTATCAATTTGACTTATCTGTTATTATTGCATGTAAAAAAAGCTTGCTGCTAAATCAATATCAAAATCTAGTTTCTATCGAAGCCAAATTAGCTAATTTTATATTCCTTCTTGTTGCTATTTATACAATTTTAAATTCTAATATTATTCCTTTAGATTAGCAATATCGTTTCTATGTTCTTTCATCAATTAAATTGCAAATTTTGATATTTGCATCTAAATTTGGTTTTCTTATTTTAATTATAACCCGCTAGGTCCAAGAACTGCTTAAGAGTTTAATGGATTTGGAGAGGTAACTGCATTCTTGTTAACAACATCTTTCACTTACTTATCAATTTCAATTTTATCAGTAATCTCCTCATTGCTATCCTTTTAATCTGATTGCCTTAATTTATCTATTTAAATTGGATCATTTGAAAAATATTATTATTATTTTTTTTACTTATGATATGGAAAGTGATTTGTTAATAATTCTTTTGCTTCTTAAAACACTCTTTATAAATTTTAATGATTAAGCCAAAGTTTGGCTTCTGTAAGGTAACTATTTAAAGAGATCCATTTTTCACCTTATGATGAGTGAAAAAAGGATGACAATTTTATATCCTTATCTAAAAAGTTAAATTAATTAGTTACCATCAAGGCTTTTGTTTTCAATGCAAATGTTGAAAATTTGTTAAGGGTAATTTAAAAAAAAAGAAAAATTCATAACTATTTAAAAGGATTTCTACTTTATTAATATATTAACAAACCCAGAAATTCTCAAAATCGATTCATCTGCACTAATTAATTATACAATCTACCTTAAATATATATGTCTATATTATCATTGCAGAATTCATTCATAATGGATGTTGCATCTTGTATTAATTTCTCTGGGTATTAAAAAAATTCATTCATATTAATTAATGAAGTCATCTAAGATAACTTTTGAGATCGTTTTGGAACTTCTGCCTAAGTTTATTATTAAGTATCGTAACTTTAAGGGTAGATTAAATTTAATATTTTTTAATACATTTATTATTTTCTAGCAAAATAATCAAAAGAATTTAATTTAGAGATGGCATTTTTCAAAAATTAACTAAATCAAATATCAAACCTAGCTGAAAATGTTTAGATCCTGACTTGAGTTCTAAATTTTTAACATAAGAAAAACCACAAATCAAGCTGATATACATATTATTAATGTTTATTTTTTGTAAAAAAACATATTATTATATTTCTTAATTTACATAATAAAATACAAAGAATGATAAATATTGACATAGATCAGCTATTTCAACAATCTATGAATTCATGTTGCTTTTTAGGATTGGCTCATTCAAAAAAATATCATTTACTGTATTTTTGTTTTTCTATGACAAACCTTTTAACATTTGTTTTATTCTGGACTCACAGAAAAATTACTATTAAAGTTGTATAAAACATTTTGCTAAAGATCAATAAATTCATTTTAGAATATAGTTTTTAACTTTTACTTTTATCTCTATTAATCAAATATTACTTCTATGATGTTCTCCATATTTTTAAAAAAAGAATCTTTTACTCTGTGCAGATATATTTAAAAGAAAAGTATAAGAAAAATATCCTTAATTTTATAATCAAAATCAGCACATTTCAAACTCTTTTATTCCAACTTCATTTTTACAATAAGGGCATTTATGAACAACATCCTTAAATTTATTACTTAGCAACGGTATAAAACAACAACAACTATCTAATGATAATTTTTTACGCAGTCAAAACACACAAAAAAAAGCAGACCAGCCATGTATTGACTCCACATTCATGTTCAAGATTAGTTTTGATATCTTTTTCACAATGAGGACACTTAATATTAACACTGCAGTCTTTCTCAGAAACCTCACTTTCTATCATTTAAAAAATAACAGGAATTGATTATACTATAATAATTATATTATGATTTATTTTAAAGAATAATATGGAAAAATAAATATATCAATATTTATTAATGGTAAATGCAAGCTGCTATTATTCATAGTTTTTGTCAAGATTAAATAATGATGAAATATTCTTATTAGATTCCAACTTTGGAGGGAGTTTGCCATCTCACAAAGTTGGAATAAGTACTTTAAAATTCGAATTCAGAAGGAGCTACATCCTCTTAAGTTACATATAGATATTGTGGTGCTTCATAGTTCAATTTATTCAGGCTTTATTGTTTGCCTTTTTCCAATGATTCCTAAGGATGTAATACCATCCTCTAATCATGTGATATATGTGATATATTGACAATATTCCAGAGCTATAAATTGATTATTTTATATATAAAATATTATTCACATTTAAATAATAAAGTATGTTAAAGCGAGCTGTAACATTATAATTTTGAAGAAAAAATACTAAATTTTTGAATATGAATAAATTTAGAGTTATAGAGAAAAACAATATTTTTCTAAACATTATCCATTATGTTTATGAAATCCAATCTTGTGTAATTTTGTAATTTTATACACAATTAATAAAATTGAACTAGTTGACTGATATTATCGTTGTGTAAAGATTAATTAATTTCTAAAAAAAATCTCTTTGAGGTAAGATTACATAGTTCTTATCTTAATGATTAATAACTGTTCCTTATATGCAAAATTATTATTGAAAGTAGCTCCTTTGGATGTAATTCATATAGAGATTATTTAACATTATTGTTAGTGATGGAGATAATTAAGATCTCTAAATCTTATTAGCGGTTGGAATACTTATTGATGATTAATATATCTTTTCAGTCCTTTATTCTATCTAATACTTTTAATATCAATTGAAAATAATAAATAACAGGTTATGAAAATATTACCAAGATTGAGTAATTTTAAAAATCACCCCAACCCCGCCATCATTTAAGATTATTAGTAAGTTTAATTTTATTTTTAAATTATTTAAATGTATCTTTCTCTTATCTTTGTTATTAATTGTATCATTACCCCTTTGAAATTTTACTAAACTATTAATAATCATTATTAGGAATAAACCTGTTTACAGAGTTTATATTATATATTTAATAGTGTATTTTACATCTATAAATATTAATTTATAATCGTTGTTTATAACATCTCAATATTATCCAAAAATTTAAATAGTAACAAAAACCACAAATTATGCAAAAAGTTATAAGAAAATGATAAAATTTATAATTGTAATGTTTTTAATGAATATTCAAATTCACTTTTGCTTTTGCTTTAAGTCTTCTAAAAAGCAACTACCCTTTGATTTAAACAAAGGTTTTAAATCTCTACCTTAATAATTCATGAATTGTCCTTATAGGATAAGTGTTCCTGATGCTTCTAATAAAGGATTCTAACATATTCTAAGTATTGTACGATCTGGATTAACTAATTAATAATAAATATTGCATACCATTTGGCATTAAGGAGCTATTCTGAAGAGCTATGTTAAACTCGGCAAGCAAACCATTATAGCTACTATCTGATTGAAGTATTTCCTTTGATGTTTGTACATTCCAAAGTCGAATAGAGTTATCATTACTGCTAGAAGCTAATGTATTTCCATCAGTGGAGAAATTGACTGAATAAACAGTATTAGAATGACCAACTAATTTGGCTTTTTATTCTCCTGTCTTAACATCCCATAAACGGATAGACTTATCTGAACTACAAGATGCTAATGTAGTACCATCAGGAGAATAACAAATTGTTCTAACCCAATCTGAATGACCATCTAATTTGGCTTTTTATTATCCTGTCTTAACATCCCATAAACGGATAGAATTATCTGCACTACCAGATGCTAATGTAGTACCATCAGGAGAGTAACAAATTGTTCTTACATAATTTGAATGACCATCTAATTAGGCTTTTTATTATCCTGTTTTAACATCCCATAAACGGATAGACTTATCCCAACTACCAGATGCTAATGTAGTACCATCAATAGAGTAACAAATTGACATAACATAATGAGAATGACCATCTAATTTGGCTTTTTATTATCCTGTCTTAACATCCCATAAACGGATTGACTTATCTGCACTACCAGATGCTAATGTAGTACCATCAGGAGAGTAACAAATTGAATTAACTGTATTAGAGTGACCATCTAATTTGGCTTTTTATTATCCTGTCTTAACATCCCATAAACGGATAGAGTTATCTGCACTACCAGATGCTAATGTAGTACCATCAGGAGAGTAACAAATTGAATTAACTGTATTAGAGTGACCATCTAATTTGGCTTTTTATTATCCTGTCTTAACATCCCATAAACGGATAGAGTTATCTGCACTACCAGATGCTAATGTAGTACCATCAGGAGAGTAACAAATTGAATTAACTGTATTAGAGTGACCATCTAATTTGGCTTTTTATTATCCTGTCTTAACATCCCATAAACGGATAGAGTTATCTGCACTACCAGATGCTAATGTAGTACCATCAGGAGAGTAACAAATTGAATTAACTGTATTAGAGTGACCATCTAATTTGGCTTTTTATTATCCTGTCTTAACATCCCATAAACGGATAGAGTTATCTGCACTACCAGATGCTAATGTAGTACCATCAGGAGAGTAACAAATTGTTCTTACATAATTTGAATGACCATCTAATTAGGCTTTTTATTATCCTGTTTTAACATCCCATAAACGGATAGACTTATCCCAACTACCAGATGCTAATGTAGTACCATCAATAGAGTAACAAATTGACATAACATAATGAGAATGACCATCTAATTTGGCTTTTTATTATCCTGTCTTAACATCCCATAAACGGATTGACTCATCTGCACTACCAGATGCTAATGTAGTACCATCAGGAGAGTAACAAATTGACATAACATAATTTGAATGACCATCTAATTTGGCTTTTTATTATCCTGTCTTAACATCCCATAAACGGATAGACTCATCTGCACTACCAGATGCTAATGTAGCACTATCAGGAGAGTAACAAATTGAAAAAACTGTTCCAGAATGACCATCTAATTAGGCTTTTTATTATCCTGTCTTAACATCCCATAAACGGATAGAGTTATCAAAACTACCAGATGCTAATGTAGTACCATCAGGAGAGTAACAAACAGACATAACATAATTTGAATGACCATCTAATTTGGCTTTTTATTATCCTGTCTTAACATCCCATAAACGGATAGACTCATCTGCACTACCAGATGCTAATGTAGCACTATCAGGAGAGTAACAAATTGAAAAAACTGTTCCAGAATGACCATCTAATTAGGCTTTTTATTATCCTGTCTTAACATCCCATAAACGGATAGAGTTATCATAACTACCGGATGCTAATGTAGTACAATCAGGAGAGTAACAAATTGAATAAACACTGTTAGAATGACCATCTAATTTGGCTTTTTATTATCCTGTCTTAACATCCCATA